TCACACTGAACAAAGGAATTTACGTCCATTGCCCGAAATTATAGCCATTGCAGCACCCTGCAGTCATATGATTGCGATCTGGGTTTTTTGAAACCTGTCCAAACTTATTCCAAGAGTCCCACAATTATGACTGGCACTTGAAATTTTCCCTGCCAACTTCCCCAGAAAGTCAATGGAAAAGTCAGCAGGGAAGGTTACAAGCTGCTGCTGGCTGATACCACTCCCTCTGGTTCCTAAGGGGTTGGCTGAAAAAAAGGTCCATTGGGACCTGTGTTGGGACAGACCTATTTAGCCAGCCTCTTTGAGAGTGGAAGGACTGCCTGCCAGATTGACTTCACCCCATGCAGGACGGAGTCTCTTTGCTAAGCAACCCTGTCGCTCTCAAAGATATTAGCTGAAAAGGTTTGTGATGAAAGCCAAGTGGGGTTTTGGCACAAGGTGTTTGCACTTAAGGGGTGTTTGCAGCCAGGTTGGCTCCAAGGGCCCCATACTGCAAGCGCCCCAGAATTTGCTTAAGAACCACAGTGATTTACAACCAAAATTGTGGTAGTAAGTTAAAGAGTACCAGAACAACCTCCCTCAACCTTGTGCCTTTCCAACAGGTTAGAATACAGTTAGAATACAGTTCTGAGCCAACAGAACTGGAGGACATGTTGCAGTAATATTTTTAAAGAATAATGAGCTAAATTAGTTTGTATTTAACTTACTGTAAGTTCCCAGTTCAAGGGAACATGATTTTGGCTGGAATATGGATATGGTAGATCTACCCAATCAAACAAAAGTTAATTATGAAATAACCTGAATCCTTGGTGCTAATTAATATTAATATCCAATTAATAACAATTTTTGTACCGCATTTGATTCATTAAATTGATTAAATCAATCAGAACAAAAAGAAGTTGTGGCCAAAAGGGCCTTTGCACAGGTACAAATACAGGTACAAACAGCGATGGGGTGCTATTTTATATTTATGTGACTCAGATACTTCCTGGTTGCTGCTTGGCTTCTGAGTTAAATTCAAGATGCTGATTATCAACTTTAAAGGCCTTTAAGGCATAGGTCTGGTTGAGGCCTCTTGTCTACAATTGTCTCTGTCTACCCACTAGGGTCCTTCAGAATGGGCATGTTCTGGATTTCATTATTTAAAGAATTTCATCTTGGGGAATAAGGAAGCATACCTCATCTGTTGCAATACCTCCTTTTTGGAATGATCTTCCCTCTAGAAGTTTAGTGGCTCTCATCTTTTTAGTTTTTCAGAAAATCACTAAAAATGTGGTTATTCTTCCAGTACATGGGAACAGGGTGATTGTCTTTTGGTCTGGTTTTACTTTGTTTGGGTCTTGTCTGTTTTGGTTTTGTTCTGGTGTTTTTGCTTCTCCATTTGGTTGTATTTTTATGTCAAATTTTTTTAAAGTTAGCCATCCAGAATCACTTAGGAGTGAAGTGGCCTATAAATCAAATAAGTAAAAAGTAAAGACAGATCACTGTAAGACTTTAGAAAGTACAGACATCCCATTAAGGCTTGTACTAAATCTTACACTTTTCCTAAAAGCAATAACCTTAACCTGCACTCTGCTTCTATCTCCCATATTTCACAAATAGGAGAGAAGGTGCAGAGTGGGTGTTATAAGCATTTAGTAAGGCCATTTACTGACTTTGCAAATAAATCATACCTGGACAGTCTCACTGGAGTTCCAGTACAGTTTCAATCTGAACCTTTATACTATGGAATCCTTCATGAATCTGGCCATTCAAATGTAATTATTTGTATTTATTTTAAAATATTTTAAATCATTTGTTGTTAGATTAGAAGTTAAAACATCAGAACATTTTTCAGTAAAACATCTTTTATGAGGTAAGTAACCAAAAACAGAGTTTCATGGCAGAAGAACAGCTGTTCCAGAGGTACGGCCAGTAAAGTTTGCATCTCCGCTATAGAAATTGAGAATTTTCAGAATCTGACCTTAGTAACATTTCTCATTATTGCCTTGGTAATCTAATCATCCTAAAAAGAGGGAGATATTCTGATCTGATTTGTATTGAGCATTGTTTTTCAATCTAGAGTTATTTTATTTTTTATTATTTTTTATTTTATTTTTATTTATTTTATCATTTTACTATTTTACATTTTATTTTATTTTATTATTTATTTTTATTTTACTATTTAATGATCCAAAGCCATATGAGACTTTTAGAGACTTTTAGAGTCATGGCGGTGATTGGCCCATTGCTCTTTATTTTAGAACGGTCCAAAGAGTCATATCGAAACCACAAGGTTTATAAAGACTTTTACATCATGATTTTCATTATTTAATTTTAAATGGAATAAAAAAAAACCACCTTCATTGAGTGTTGGCAATATTTTACATCATAACAGGCAGTGCAAATTGTTAGGGGGCACATAAAGCTTAAGAGTCATATATCAGGAAAAAACACAGCCGAGTGCAGTCAGGGACACACCTCGGACCAAACAAGCCTGCCTCAGTAACTCCAAGAATTCTGGGGTCGTTTTCACCAGGGCTGAGGTGAGAACATTCATTTCATCACCATTTGGAACAGTTCTAGGTTGCTACTTGAGAACACAACAGAGACAGTAAACCCTGCTGGTGTTGCTTAAAGTTTAGACTACATGAAAATCACTGGATGGATTTTCTTCCATTTTTTTCTACTTTCTGGCCTTCCCAGCCTTTCTCAAGCTGTGAGGTGAGGCACCACTACACAATATAAATTGGCTCAACTGTGACATTCCATATGTCTCTCTTTTCAAGTTTCAAATATGATAGTCTAGTGTTACACCCAGAGTCATTGTGGGCCATTTCTGATTTGAAGCTGCGGTCAGGCAGATCACACATATACAGAGTTCCAGATGTCATTTTGCTATCGTTGAAACCTTTGTGATTTTTCTCTCTTTCTAAATAAACAGGCACAGGGATAGATGAAATGTGAGGCCGTGGGGAAATTCTGAACCAGAACGCAAAATGTTTTTAGAAGAGGGTTGGAATTTGTTCAGCCGGCACACATTGTCTCTTCATGTGGTATTTATTAGTCATACTTTTATCGCTAATTTCATCTGTTCCTGAGACTGTTTTTTATTTTGTTTTGCTTTAAATTAAGACTCCATTCAACGACCCTTTTGGAATAGAAGTAGCACATTGTAAAATGCTTAATCACAAGCTGGTGTGCATGAGGTTTACAGAATCAGCTGTGTCTGCAGAGGCATCTGTTTATTCTGTTTGCAAAGAATCTAACCTCAGAAAGTGCTAGGAGGTTTTCCCAACACTGGATGACATTTAGATATTGGAGGAGGAATGAGGGAGCACCCAACTTCCAATTAAGAGTTCACCATTTGGTCTCCAGGGTCTATATTAAAAGGCCAAAGTAGTATAGTAGGTGCTACAAAAGACCAGCTTGAGCAGAACACCTGGGCCGGATGGACATGGCTGAACCTATTCTACAGTAATTATCCAATGCAACTCTTCTATGGAATTCCCATAAGTACTGACTGGTTTAGAATATACTGTATCTGCTGCCTTTAAATAGTACAAGTTTTATCAACTGGAATTGTAAGCCTTGGACAAGTCCACCAAACTGCTGTTGCTTAGACATGCCAAGAACTGGACTGATATGCATTAATATGTCTGCCTAGATTTGTATTTCTTCCTTAGATATTGCAAGATGTGGGGGAGGGCATGAACAAGAGTGACTCTATAGTACTAAAGAGTTTTGAATTTATGCATAAGCACTTTTGGATTCCCCTAAAGTTGCAACATGCCTTTTGAATATTACTAAGACCAGCAAACATACACTTGAAAAATCCCCAAAACTCTAGATATGTGTGCCCAGAATCAGTTTTACTTATAATATCTTTCAAAACTTGTATTCCTTTTTAAAAACCAGGTGTCCTGGTGTTAATGAACAGGAAGGCTCTATCCTTAGGATACAATTACTGTAAGTGCAAAGTATTCATGCCAAAGCAAAATTGCAGAATACTGAATTATCTCTCACCACCCCTCATCCAATCTTACACAGATCCCTTCTTTCCCCAACAAAGTTACCTATTTGGGATAAGTGGGGATAAGGATTATTTACAGGTGCTTTTGGAGAGCTTTGTAGATACCATCTGTTTTAGGATGCTTTCTGAAGACAGATGGATAAAGCTTTTTTTCATCCTTTGTAAAATTATCTCACTAAGCAGACTGGCTAAGCTCTTTAGCTTCCCAGGCTGATGATAGGAAAACTATTGTAAGTAGCACTGGGCTTGTACAAACTTCGGTTTATATAGGAATAGGATTAATTTACAAACCATATGACAAAAACCAACTAATTTTTGTACTTTTGGTAAAACTTTTTTACTGAAGCTGTTGATGTGGGTAAAAGCTAATGTAGTTCTCCTGCAAGAGAGAACCAGCACCTGGCAACTATGGCGCTGGCTCTTTTTCAGCAACGATGCCACTTCTGCGAAGTGAACTGCAGCAAGTTTCCCTTCATTTTGTATATGTGGCTATGAGGGTGGGAACAGCTTGCTTATACATTTTGATAAAATGAGACCTTATTGGTTTTGTCTTAAATAAACAATTGAGAAATAAACAGCTTTCTGCACATTCTTGATGAAATGGACTTTTTTGGAGGGGGAGGGGAGGTCTGAATAATAATCATTTTCAATATGGCAGTTGATTACCTCTTGAGCTGCCTGTCACAAAATCACCATCAATGTATGTACAAGTGGATTTGAAAAGTGTGGACCTCTGTTGTGTATACACAGCTTTCCAACTCTGGGGAAGAGCTATGGTGCCACAGATTACAGATTAGACTGAAAAAAAGATGATCAGTCCATCTAGTTCTCATTGCAATACTGAATGCAGAGCTGGTAGGTGTGGGGTTTTTGTATTCTCACTGAAGGAATAATGGGTTGATAGCATTTAAATGCATCTTTCTTATAGATCAGTTTGCTATTCAGTGAACCTTCATGGGGTATTAACTTGTGTATGTTTTTACTGTCCTTCAAATATTTTTCAGCTGTCTGGTGTACTTGCAATATTCCACATCCACCTACGGTTCCTTGTCAACTCTACTGAGTCTGCTTGAAATATTCCCTTCTTGATGTTAATCTCTCCCAGTCTATCACCAATGACTAGCCTCTGTGTCTTCTATTGTGCCATTACTTTTTGCACAAAGCTTCTGATGTTTCTAATGATGTCTTTTAGTTTGATTATCCAGTTATGTGGTAGGGAGTCAAATGCCTTTTTGAAATCAGTACAAACTACATTCAAGTTGGTCTTCCTTCTCTTAATTTCCAAAAATATCTTGTCAATTATTATATGTACAACAATGTGAAAGCTCCCAATTCTTTAGCTCGTGTTAGCCTACGTTTATTATTGTAATTCATGAAAGCATTTTTGGAAAATAACAACCACAAATGTCTATCCTAGTTCTTGGGAAAGATTCAGTAGGCAGATAAAAATGCCAAATCCAGTGTAAACTGGCTATGTGACCAACAATAATTTACATTTATATACCACCTAACGCCCAACAACTCTGGACAGTTTATAAATGATTGAAAACAGGAAACACAACAAAATAAAAAAGAACAAAGTGACAGAGATGATAATCTAGATAGAAACAAAGAAAAAGAAAAGGGCACTTCAATCATCAAATTGAAGTTGATCATCTGATCAACTGTTTAACATAGTGCTAGACAAAAACAATAATTAGAACATGCTTTAGGTACAATGGGTAGAAATTGCTCATTTAAAGTAGAGACATATTCCAGCATTGTAGGTTTTTTGTTACACTTAAATCACTTAGAAAGTTACACTTTCTAAAAGGTTATTTCAAGTATATTATGAATTTCTTTTTTTACAAAAGAAAGAAATTTTAAAAGAGTGTATCAACCAAAATGTGCTTTTATATTATCTATTTGTTTGGGATTCTGTGCCAAACACAGGAAAGACAAACTTTCAGCCAGGTATAGTAGCCCAAGCTGAAAATGTCTTAAGCCTCAGCTTTCTATAGGAAAGGAGAGCAGCAGGATAATGACAGTCATCCAGAGTCTGGCCTTCAGAATGAATAGGACTACGAGTACAAAATGAACACAAGTAAATTATATGGGCATATAGCATTCCTGTCTCCTTATTAGTGGCAGCTTTGCTTAGCAAGACACTTTGTGCACATACTTTAAATTCAGACTCAGTAACAAGTAAATCTAGTACTCCACCCCCATGCTTTTCAACTAATTCCTCTTGTATTTAACTTGGTAGAAATAAACACTGTGTAGTCAGCACAATGAATGGGAGAGACCTGTGCATTCAATAAATGACATACATTTCCTGGCCTGGGAAGAGCTAAAACATCATTAGCTTAAAACCCAACTGTCAATCTAAAGGCAGTCAATTTATGCTTTTGAAGTTACCTGGTTTCTTGACATTATTCTGCCAGTGTGTATGCCTACTATCAAAAGTTAACTCAATGACACATTTGTTATGATTGTGCATATTTTTAAGCAAGCTGCCTCAGGACAAAATTTATAAGAGCCTAGAATACCTTCACTGATCAATTTTTAACCTGATTTTCTACCTTGAACCCTTTGTGGTTTCAAGCAGTGCTACAACACACATGGCTTAATTTGAATCCCAATCTGTTTTCCTCTTCTTACAAAATACACGGTTGGATTTCAGTATATTAATTCAGAACTTTTATTGTGCAGCCTGATTCATCCCAACAAACGGTAGATTTCTATCCATACATCTGGTGAAGTTAAGAGGATCTAAGCTCCTCTTCAGAAAGTCAAACAATTGTTCACACGACCGTGTATGATGAATCTTGCCTTTGGAGACTGTGATATATCTACTCTCCCTTTATCCAGCAGAGTAAAATAAAAACACTGAGTACTATTCTTGGGGTTTTGTCACCTTGCTAGTAGGCAAAAGACAGCAGCACGTAATTTTCACTGTTTCTGTAGCAACAAACATGGTATGACACGCTGGACAATTTGCACATCATGACAATGACAACTGCCTTCAGATGGCCTGACCTAAATAACATGGAGAAAAGCTTCCTTTAAAAAGAGGAGGTGGCTTGGTCCTATGAAAAAAAAAATCATCTCCCCCAAAATAAGAGGTGCAATGGTGAAAACTCAGAGAAGCTAAAAATGCTTCCTTAGCTTGTTAACTCTGCAAAGATCCGTAGGGCCTCTCTTCAGAAATACTGGTCATGAGAACTATTGCAGCAGGGCACATGGTCCCAGACTACTATTCTGCTCCAGCACTAGTGGCTGAAACTCTGCATTATAGAAGCAGTTACAGCAAAGAAGTATGTTAGTGGCAAAAGCTCTACCTCTTGCAGAGCTGGCTTTGGCTCATGTACTCCGTCTGTTCCTACCTCTTCAAAGTTGCCTCTCAAAATTTCAAGTCACCCATTCTCTACAGGGTTGCCCATTTCTGCTTCACACTAGTCATTAAGAGGTCACATAAAAAGGAGGCTATTTGACAGCTTTGCTGTTGGTCTTCTGCACTTAAACCCCAGCTAATGAAACCCAAGATCTGCCAAAGTGAGAAACTTGGCAGCTCTGTTCAATACTGACAGATTTAAAACCTTGCATAGCTTGACATGGCCCCAAAGACTGGGCCTAGTATGCCCTATTGGGCTTGTGCTCTAATACCACGAGAATAATTGTACTTTCTCTTGAAATGGAAATATCTTTTTCTGTGCACCATCATGATTAAGAAGTTTAATAAAATTAATAATAATTTTTAAAAAATCAGCTCCTCTCAGCCGAGTAAAGGAAAGCTGCTTTGTTGGCAGCTCTGAGGTATTATCCTCTCTGGAACTTCAGTGACACAGAAAAAGGAAACTGCTGATTGGATTTTGTGTTGAGCCTGAGCTACTGACAAGATACACACATTCAGTACTTTTTCCCTCTGTTTTGGTTCTGAAGGTCTTTTTTTCTCCTCAACAATAAAGTGATTGATGTGTGGTTTGATGTTTTTTTTTTTTTCTCTAAAAAAAAGTTATCCACTTGAACATCCTTCAGAACAGAAACTGGAAAAGCTGCCTGAAAGTAGGCCAAAGCATGTGACGTTTCCATAGAAACCAGTTCACAGCAATCCGTGAGAATCACAAGCACTGGAGGAGTGCTTTCCAGCAGGCGAACTGGAGCTAGAGGCGGTTATCCCCATTCACCCGCGTCTTTCGCAGGAACCTGCAGGGAAAGAAACAGGAATCGCAAATTCAACTCAGTGGCCCATTTTAAAAAAAGTCAAATATTGGTTAGAATTCTGTTGGGGTATCCGTAACATAGCAATGAAACGGATGATTGGGTAAGTTTACCCTGAGAAGTAGAAATTTCCTCATTGCCTATAGGACAGAGTTGCTGTGAAGATAAAATGGGGAAGCCCTGAGCTCCTTAGAAGGGCTAAATACAAAAGTGAAACCTAATTAAAAATAATTATTGCATGCTAGGAGAAAAAAAAAAGAACAGATCAGCAGTTTCACTGGACCATCTGAGTCCCAATGATATCTTAGATGTTCCTCTTCCAAAACCAATACATTTTATGGCCTCGTACTCTTATAGAGGCAGGATGCTTTTGCGACAAATATTAATAGTTCACCACATTGTTCTTCATTCCGATAAAACTGAACACTTTTGACAGTGGAGGTGGTGATGGGTTTGGAAATTTGACGTTTTGTACCAAAAAGCGACATCATTTGGGACATTTGGAGTATTAAAAGACAAGCGGGTAGGAGGTACTTTGTAACATGGAAGGCTGACTCCACAACATAATGTTCTTCCTTCAAAAAATAAAAAAGGAAAATTCCTTCTCAGCCATCTGGATTAATGTTTATTTGGATTCTTTGCAATGATAACTTTATAAAAGTTTAATTTCCCTCCCTTCTGTGACCTCGTTGCAAATCTTTGGGAAAAAAAAATATAAGGCAACAATCATGGAATAAGATAGCGCTAGGGTATATCATAAGATACCTTGGGCAAGCACAGCCAGCTAGCCAGCCAACACAAGCCCAGTACTATGTAGGGTCAAAATAACCGACATTGAAAACAAATACCAAAACCTTATTTTATTTTATTGTGTGGTGTGATGACTCAGTGGTTAAAGATGCTGAGCTTGTCAGCTGGAAAGCTGAACAGACCAAGTTTGAGTCCCATGCGACAGGGTGAGCTCCCATTATCTGCCCACCTGGCAGTTTGAAAACATGCAAATTCAAGTAAATCAATAGGTACCACTTCGGTAGAAAGGTAACAGCATTCCATGTGCCTCGGCATACCAGTATAATCATGCTGGCCACATGACCATGGAAATGTCTTTGGACAATATTGGCTCACTTGGCTAAGAAACAGAGATGAATATCGGCCATAGAGTTGGACACGACTGGACAATGAAACCTTCTCCTGTATTTCCTTTATTAGAATTAGTCTATGATGCAGAGCATGCAAATATGTAAATTTAATTCCTACACACTTACCTTCTATCTCGATTGTCAAAATGCTCTGATAGCTGCTCCTGTGACGTCCTGAAATCTTCAAATGGTTGCTGATATCGTGCTTCCAAGGAACCTTCTCTGGCTCTACCTGCCAAGAGCTGATTTGGGGAATCAGCTGATCTATCTCGGAAAGGTGATGCCGCAAAGGGGTTCATTTCACCATTTTCCTGTTCCAGAATAGAAAGAATAACACCTAAGGAATCTTTGATGTTTTTTCTACAGAGGGGAAGAAAATTCAATTCAGACAGGAATTCACTGGATCTTTCTAGGATCTCCCCTTCCAATGCCATAGAAATATTTAAGGAATTTGTTAACACACACACACACACACACACACACACACACACATAAACATATATACATACACACATTTATCATCATCAAATAAATTTGTGGAATTTTGTATAATAGGACAAAACAAATTTAAGCATGAATATACTAAGAAATGATATCATTTAGTTAGAGAGATTTTTTTAATCCTCATTGTCCCAAAATGAAAACAAACCCAGTTCTTCACAATCATTTCATTAAAATATCAGTCAACAAGCTAGCTTAACTCCTTACTTAGGTTTGAAAGACAATTTTGTTTTGGTAGCCAAGTTAGCAGGAACTTTGGATATTAAAAAAAAAAAGGAGTCCCAAAGCAATGGATAAATTACAAGACCACTGAATAACACCCATTTCTCCCTTTCCTAGGGAATGTAGTAGCTACAATTCTTTAAAAAAATCAGTAGAAGTGTTTGTTACCACGCATAAGCAAATTTATTTGGCTTGCATGTTTACTTTTATATATAAAAAAAGACATTATAGTCCCTGCAAGTAAATTAGCTTGGAGATCCTAGGGGCAAAAGAACTAGAAGTTCTTAAATTCCTATTTTACTAAACCTTTGTCTAAAACAGCATATAGATAATACTGCATGATAATTACTACAAGAGCCGTGATGGTGCAGTCGTTAGAATGCAGTATTGCCGGCTAATTCTACTGACTGCCTTCAATTTGGCAGTTCAATTTTCACCGGCTCAAGGTTGACTCAGCTTTCCATCCTTTCAAGGTCAGTAAAATGAGAACCCAGATTGTTTAGAGAGGGATATAAAGAACTGTGAAGTGGTTTATAAGTTTAAGTACTATGGCTATCCTTTTGGCCCAAGTGGACTGAACTGTAAACAGCAGGTAAAGAAGAGACAAAAATTAAATTTGATCAAGTTTACTTTAAATACATTTAATGAAACACATTTCATATATATTTAATAACTTCCTACTCTTATCATAATTAGAGTTCAGCAGCAATTCTGAAGACCGTATATGGTCCTGGGACATCAGGTTGTGTATCTCAGTGGTCCCCAACCTTTTTTATGCCGCGGCCCAGTACCGGCATCAGCTGGGCGCCGCGGCCCGGTACCGGCATCAGCTGGGCGCCGCCATCTTGTTTTGATGAAAAAGTGCTTCCGGTGAGCTTTCTACCCGGAAAAGCTCACCGGAAGCACTTTTTCATCAAAACAAGATGGCAGCGCCCAGCAAACCAGCGGCCCGGTAGGATTTGTTCCACGGACCGGTACCGGTCCGCGGACCGGTGGTTGGGGACCCCTGGTGTATCTGATAAAGCAGATCTGGAGCAGAAAGCACAGTCTAAAGTATGCCAGAAACGACAAACATGAAAAGTCCCCAAAGAGACATGGTATCAAAAGGCTATTGTTGGTACCCCCCCAAATCTTAGCCATTCTTAGTTAAATGTAGATCGATTAACTAATTTATTCGTAAAGCTAGGATAACCTTTGTCCTTCTGTTCTATACCTAGTTACTACAAAATAGTGGTGTTCAAAATTTGTTTGTAAAATAACAACTTACCATGAGAGGAATTATATCTATCTTAACAAGCAAGGAGGCCAATTCCAAATCCTCAGTATAGTTGTTCTTCAAAGGCACAGCCCGGTATCCTCAAAGGTAAGAAAATGAATTATTAATAGGGAGCAAGTCAGCATGTTGAGCATTTATAATCTTTAAAAATATAACATTTAAATAAGGCATTATGTCTTTATCATGCTTTTTTTTAAAAAAAAAAATCTAATGTTACATTGAGCTTTTTCTGCCCCCTTACTGAGCTGGTCATATACATAATGACAGCTGTATGTTTTATATTTATGATTTTTTTTTCAGCACTGACATACCTTTGACTACTAGCTGAACAAGGCAATCGTTAACCAAGGACTACCTCTATCTGTTTCAACACAACTATCCTCGACAGAAGACCTTTCTTCTCATTTACCTGCTTTTAGGCCTTTAACCAAGAAAGTGGCCTGAGCTAAGAAGTTCTGGTCACTGAACATATCCTCTTCATATACCACGAAACGTAGAAAAGCAAAGTCAGGATTACTGACATGGAACTGAAAAGTCTTTGGGGTCCAAGCAGGATTCAGACCATTGTCCACTATAGTAAACAAAAGATATATGTGGAATTTATTTGAGTACAAAGAAATATAATACTACAAACAGCAGTGAACTTAAATTACAACCAAGCTGTTTTATGATTATTTATCTTCTCTGCAAAGCACAAAATTGTGTTTAGGAATTTAACATCTAAAGTACCATTTCTGAATCTGACAAGTACATCATAGTCCTTCTCCCTTATACCTAGGCTGCAATACATATAACCACTGCACCAAGAGACATGGTGGTGCAGTGATTAGAATGCAGTACTGCAGGCTAATTCTGCTGACTGCCGATTGCCAGCAAGCCTGATTCTCACCAGCTCAAGGTTGACTCAGCCTTTCATCCTTCTGAGATTGGTAAAATCCGAGGACCCAGATTGTGGGTGGCAATATGCTGACTCTGTAAACTGCTTAAAGAAGGCTGCAAAGCACTGTGAAGCAGTATATAAGTCTATTACCATTAGATTTAAGAGAAAATGATTAATAAGCATTTTGAAGTTAAATTTGGGTGAATTCAGTCAGTATTATTCAAAGTGACAATTGAAGCAATGGGTTGATTATGTAAAAAGGAAAAAAACAAATGGACATCCCTTCTAAAATGATGATAATAATCTTTCCAAAAGAATACCATGAGAAATGACTACAGGCAGAACTGGATAGGGACAAAACTACTTTATCCGGTCCTTTCCTTTGGTTTGGTTCTTCTTCTCTGGGCCTAAGCAAACTGACTGTTTATCTTATATTATTCAAGACAACGGGATAAATCCGTGCACTAGTTTCCTTTAGATGTGAGAAGATTGGAACCACTGAAAACGTGCAGCTAGATCTTATTGTCTTAAGCATAAGAAGTCCTAATGGGAGAAGATTCCCAGGCTGTCCCTGGATGTGTGTTCCAGACTAAGATAGTTTTAAAATTAAGTTTCTAAAGTTCAGGGGTGGGTTTCTACTGGTTCTGTCCACCTCTGTAGAACCGGTAGCTCTGAAGAGCAGCAGACATAGAACCGGTTCTATGTCTGCTGATATTTTTGCCCACCCGGGCTCTTACCTGATCTTTATTTCCTGATTTTTCAACTTCAGCTGCTGAACAAGACACAGCTGCTGTTAAAAAAGCAGGAAAAGAGGGCTGTTTCAAAGGCTGCATCTCTGCACACAGCATGCTGATGATGATTTACAGGCGCGCGGCTCACAGCGTGCAGGGAAGCTCGTAAATCCCGAACTGGTAGTTAACCCTGTCTTATCCCACCCCTGCTAAAGTTGCTTTTTATTGGGGGGAAGCAATGCAGCTGCCTAACACTGCACACACTAAGAAATTCTGGTCATTGAACAGATCTTCATATACCACAAAACGTAGAAGAGTGAGGTTAGGATTACCGGTTGTGTTCATGGCTGAGCAGGAATCCTAATTCTGCTCTTTCAGGCCCCAATCCCATGTGACCCAACTACACTGGCTTCCAAATGTGGTTAAATTGAAAAGGCAGGAGTTGACACATTTACTGCAGCTACTGTCAACATACTTCATCAACTACTTTTCTCACTTCTCATTCTCAGAGGATGGAATTAAAGACTCCACTATCTTATAACAGAAGAAACACACTAGTCACAAAGATTTAGTATCTTCATTTGTTGGCTACGGTTCTATAAACTTATTCCTTAAATTTGTGGATTTCTTACACAGTAGACAGTCCAAACTGGATGAGCATAAACAACTTGATTAACTAAAGGGAAATAATTGTTTAAAAACTTGAGCTAGAAACATCCACTTCTGGGATAAAATGGTGGTTAAAATGGTTTACACCTGATGTACGCTGATTTAAATGGAGGTAAGCATTCATAGTTTTAAGGAAATCAGATTTGTATGGCATTATGAATTAAAAAAGAACAATTCTAAAAATGGCAAGAAACATAAGCTAATAGAAAAGTTACACATGATCTTTAACGTATTAGATTATGTTTTTTTCAAAAATGATACCTTAAAATTTAATTCATTCCAAGAAAATGTTTCATGTTTTTACTGCACACTGACCAAATAAAAACACTACATTTTATATTTGCAAGCACAAGAAGTTGCGGTGGCCACCAACATGGAAACTTTTAAAAAGTTTTAGACAAATTAACAAAGAGTAAAAGTTTGCTAGTTATAATCAATATATATTACCACTATTATTGAAGGCTGGATACACTCAGTATCATTCACTATGATAAGGAAGCAGGAAAATACTATAGTATTGCCATAATACTGTAAAACCCTCTTTGAGAGAGTTGAGTGATTTAGAAATATGAAAAATAAATAAATAAATAATATCCTGCTTCTGGAATTCCCACAACCAGTGGCTGACCGTTGTGGAAACTAATTGTGATCATACTATGTTTTTCTTTTGCTTGTGTTGTAAAATCTCTGCAGATATTTAGACTTCTTGAACTGCATAATCTAATTAATAATTGCAAGGTAATTGTAGCAACAGATTATTCCTGAAGGTGGAATCTTAATAAAGGAACACTCATAACCAGAACAAGTGCTACTTAACAACAAAAATAACTTAGAAAATCAATAAAATCTTTAAAAAAAATAACAGCAACAACAGCATTATCAACTTTTAGGCAGTTCATTATTGAAATTTTCTACAAATCTGGAAAATTCTCCAATTGTTGATTAGGCAAGTACAGGATTAGTGAAGGACAGGATTTAAAAACAAAAAGACAAAATAAACTAGGCCAAAAGGTAAAGAATCCAAACTCGTAAAACCTACAGTATATGCAAACAAATTCCATTTGTTGCAGTTTGAGTAAATAATATTTACACATAAAAAAAATTGTTCCGAGGTTGGCAGGGGAGAGAATGTTGACTACAGAAAAGCTGACACTTGCTTGGTTATGATCTAAAGTTGGCATTTTTCTGCATATAAATAATTTACGCTCTGAAAACTTTTAATATAAAGTTTAATTCAAACATCTGCTCCAGTTTAAATAGCTTCTTGACAATTCTACAGTTGCACAATTCAAAACAAAAATATATTACATCCATTTTCTCTCTTTCTAATGTAATACATGTTAAGTAATCTATAGTTGTACAGGTTTATCTCTGTAGTGGCCTACACTTCCAGAGTTAATGTCAAAATAGAAAGTAGCATCTGCCCAGAAGAATTTGCAGATATTCAGTGAACAGGAAATATTTCTGCACTTCTCGCCACCACAAGGCCCTATAGTAAATTTGAAATCAACTGCCCACAGATTCCACAAACATTTGTGAGCTTCTTTGTCACACTTCAACCAGAAAAAGCATGAGAAAAACAGACTAGAGAGAGCAACAGGACATACGCCCCATGTGAGATCAACTCTGCATCTGTCTGATGATGACAAAGAAGCTGATTTTTAAAAGTGATAGGAGAACATGTTCTCAATTGCTATCATTATATAGGAGATATTAAATAACAGTAACACCTTTGACAATGGAATCTGAAGTTGAAATGGCAGGATCAGGTACTCACCCACCATCTCAGTCTTCTGTTTTGTATAATCATAATCTGCTCCAGATACCTCAACCTCTACAAATGGGCAAACAATTCCCCTTCCATTTTTGGGAAGATGCCGTGCCCCCAGAATCTGGACAAGAAAGACAGAAGGGAGAAAAATCATACTGTTAAGATAATTTTCCGGTATATCGAGCCAAATGGTTACAGAGACTTCAATCAACTGATGTAGTTATCTGCTTCCTAAGGCTCTTCCTTTGAGAAAACTTTAACACCAGTAACATTTCAGTAGGGAAAAAAAATCTGTCTTTAATGATTAGAATCTGTGCACGGCTTAAGTTAGTGGTGCTCAAAAATGTTGAAACACTGCAATTAAAAATCTTTTAAGCCCAACCAATGTGGTTAGTTAATGGCTCAGTGTGTCATAGGAATCCAGAAAATTATGGACTAGAAACTATAAATTAAATTAAGAATGTCAACAGCTATAAAGAGAACTTGTATAAGATGTTTTACAGGTGGCATCTACCCCTGGCAAGATTAGCAAAGATGTTCAAGGATAAATCGGTGAAGTGTTGGAAATGTCTTCAGACAGCTGGATCATACTACCTTATGTGGTGGACATGTGCAGAAGCTAAAAGATACTGGACTAATACACACATGGCTGGAAAAAACGACGAAACAGCATATAGATTTAAAACCAGAGACATTTTTATTGGAAATTTTACCTGAAGGCTATAATAAGGAACTGACATATTTGATTATTAATGTTCTAACTGCAGCTAGAATTGTATTTGCTCAAAATTGGAAAAATGAGAAAATTCCGAGGGAAGAGGATGTGATTAAGAAAATATTGGAATGTGCAGAAATGAGTAGATTAACATTAGCAATTAGAGAGCAAGAAGAAAAAGAGTATTATAAAATATGGGATTTATTTTATCAATGGTTAAACAGAAAAGTAGGAAATTGAAGTATAATATAATAGCAATGATGTTACAACTGATTATTTCTGAATAAGTTATAATATGTACAAAATATCAAGAGTTGAGGTTTGCTGTAAAGGATAACATTGATTTGAAATTAAAAGTCTAATGATGATGCAATAATAATATAATATGATATAGAAAGCTAATTAAGATGTAAGATGAATGTAAAAGCTAAGAGGAAAAGACTATAAACATTGTGCACAAGATATATGTACCAACTGACACACTGTATAATTGAAAGAAGGTTTTATTTGTTATGTTTGTTGTAAAAAATAAAAAAAACTTTTATTAAAAAAAGGAATCCAGAAAATACATTAACTAGTATCATGTTTAGAGTTCTAGTAAACAAAATTACTTAAGACTGCCAGACTGAAATAATTGGAACAAATTAGCTCTTATTGACTTAGGTTCCAGAAAAGAAATGATACTTAATACACCTGGCCTTCTTACAATTAGTTCTCATTCCCTACCGTGCTGTTATCAGTCACACTGTTTAGGATTCATAAGTCCTTTATCTATATTGATATTTGCTCCCATTTTTTCTTAAGAATCCTAGATTAATAATCCTAGAATCGTGGGGGTATTCTGTTTGGCCTTCATTTCCCATCATCTTCAGCCAACACGACCAATTACAAGGGGCAAGAAACATTTCAAGAGCCATAAATTGTTGTCTGTTGCAATAAATAGGGCAATTCCTCTCCCAAAAAACAAAACCATAGTCTGACAGGTATATAGTATTTGCATGTTCTACATTCCAAGATGGCTAGAATCCAGGGAGTAGGTGAGACACACATACACACACAAATAAAACCCTAAATAAGATTCATCTAACTAGATTTCTAAATGAAGGGAGCCACCTACAGGTAGGAGATTTATATGTTGTCAACTGCCTCCCTCACAAAATGATTTATCTCTAGCAGTTCCAGTGACTGTTTTGCTCGTTTATCATTTGTCTCAAGTAGGTTTTTGTTAGAGAAGATTTGACCGAGTAACAACTACTGTTGCGGTTTTCTGTCACTCAATATGTGTATTGAAGATTGCTCAATAATCTAAGAAGGATCAATACTCACACCAAACAGCTGCAGTACTCTATGCAAAGAACAGGTGATTGTGGGCCTGATCCAAAACATGCATTTTCAGGGATTTTAGTCCACACAGGGCAAAACAAGATAGTGCTTGATAAGAAAGACCGGTTTGGGTTTCTTCAGTGACAGACCGAAATCCGCGATCGTGCGCGGTTTCGATCTGTGCTCGCCGCTGGAGCGCCCTGATCCTTTGGTTAAGGGGCTGAAGTCACCCCGTAGAGGTGGTGAAGAGGGGGGAGATTGCTAGCTGAGTGGAGGGGAGCCGCATCTCTCCTCCTTGGCTGGTCTAAACTCCCTTTCCTGAAGGCAGTTGCAGCAGTGGTCAGAAATGGCCACCTCAAAGAAGAACCCGACTGGATAAGATTGTGCAGGAGGAAGACAAAGAGGAAAGCAGGACAGAGAACATCTAAGCAAGGTACCCTGAATCTAAAAGTACTTAGAGGGATACTTCTGAAAGAAGATTTTTAAGCGGCGAAGGAGAGAGAAAAGGAGGTTAAAAACCCTTTTTTTTACCTTTATATTGACAATTACAAATGGTATGGAAAGAAATTTATGTTAATCTATTTTGACACTAATAGGCAACTTTAAGCTGAAATCTACGTGTCAAAAGGAGAATAAAGATTTTTTCTTGTCATTTTAAAGCCTTAAAAAGGAGAAGAGTGGAGGCAAAAGGGTGGAACTTGGAATAATGAAAAAATGGAGTGCCACCTGGAAAAATAAAGAGGATTAACAGTGAACTTTGAAAAGACTCCTGAGGATACATTGCAACTGAAATCTTATTAAAAGATATAGTAACCCACGGAAAGGAAAAGTAAAGGAAAGAAACAAGAAGGAACGGTCTGGGATCATTTGGTGATTTTTAAAAAAAAGTTTTTGGCATTTTTTTTTCTGTTTTTACTTAAAGTCAATCGGGAGGTGGTTCAAAAGTGCTTAAAATGGCATCACTCCTGGAGGAATTGAAGATGAGTCTTAAAAACCAGAAAGAAGATGCAGAAAGAGGAGGAAGATCTTTTGGCTTCGTATTTGAATTTCTTGAAATGGAGATCCTGAACTATGAAAAGCAAAAGCAAAAGCTTCAACAGCAAGAAAAAGGGCAGGACAAAGAAGAAGCCATTTTCAATGGTCAAATAACGCAAAGTGTAGTAAAAAGGGGAAAAAGGGGGAAAGGAGTTAAAAGTTTAAGATCAAAGGGAACAGCCAAAAAGAAAGATAGTCTGAAAAAGAAGTATAACAGCAAGGAGAAGTAGAAAAGAAAACTTCAGAAGGGAAAATCAGAGAGAGAAGGGTATAAAAAAGGGATGAGAAAAAAAGGGGGGGGGAGATAGAAAAGGGAAAGAACTTATGAGGGACAAAAGCAGGAAATAAAGAAAAAGGGGAAACGTACTAGGATTAAAGGTATTTGCTCAGCTAGAAAACACAGAGACAATGGCTAAATTAAATTAAAAGTGAGGATTCTGCAAAGGTACAAAAGATAGTGTTGTGACAGTAGAATACTGTAATGAGTTAGAAATGAAATAAGTAAATAATCTATGAGAAAAAACTATTGTTATGTAATGGTATGTTTATTTATAATTAATGCAATAATGAAGAAGGGAGGGAAACATTGTAATTGTTTCTAAAGATTGATAAAATATTGGAAAAAAATGTGAAAGATTTAAAAGGGAATTATACCAGTTACTAGAATGAATTTGAATAATTATTTTGCTTATTCATAGTAAATAATTTATAAGATAAAACTGTATGACTATCCAATGGTATGCTTATTAACAATTAATGTAATAATGAAGAAGGGAGGGAAACATTTCAATTGTTCTCAAAAATTGATAAATATTGAAAAGAAACGTGAAAGATTTACAAGGCACATACCAGTACTAGAATGAATTTGAATAACTATTTTGTCTACTAGTGTGTGTGTGTGTGTATAGTTTTTGCTGTGTTTTTAGAATTTTTCTTTTTACATTTTCAAGGGGAAGTCTGAATGATGAGATTTACATGATATAAAATAGATATTAGAAATTTGAATGTTATAACTTTAGAATGCACAAATTTAATGTTTAATGAGAATTCATATGATAATAACAATAAGACTTAAAGGTGTTGCACTCTGATTGGCAATCATAGGGGGAATTTTGCTTTTTAAGAATGTTGGAAGAGAATATATGAAATTGTAAACAAGACAGATGAAAGTATAAGTATAATGAATAAAAAGATATAAAAACTTAGGTAAAAGAAATACAATCGAATAAGAAGAAAATGAGATAATCATAAAAGAAAATTAAGAGAAGTAAAGGGAGAAATAGTGAGAAGTTGGAAAAAGAGTAATAAGGTATGAAGTTGAATACATAAGATGAATATGCATATGAAATTGTGTCTGCATGGAAATGTGATAACCCGGAACCATGCTGTACTCAAATAAGATGTTTTATTTGTTTTGTTAAAACTCAATAAAACTTTATTAAATAAAAAAAGATCGTTCTTGATAGAAATAGGGGTAGGGACATAAAAGCAGAAAAAGACAAGATTGGAGAGTTGCTTTAACAACTGTGAATACGGATAGCGCAGTAGTTAAGGAGGCAATAAACAAAAGGAAGGATAGGAGTTGGAAAGAACAGGCGTAAAACAAGTCACGTGGTACATAAGATGAGGCATATCACATGGTATATGTTGCCTGGTAAGTCATGTCAAGTGAGATATCTGTGGCAATTGTGGGGGGCGTCGGAAAAATAATGGGGCGATGGGTCAGTTCAAAGTGATATGAAGGAAGAGGTGGAGAGAAAAAGTTCTGGATTTTGTTTTGGCTAGAACATGGAACATGAAAAGGTTCTGAGTTCAATTTCTGCTAAAAAAATCACACTTGTCCTGAAACAGAACTTAGCAGAAGTTCTGAAACAGAAGTTTAGCAGAACTTCCAGAATGTAAGTTTGTTTCAAAGTAGAACATAAATTTGGGTTGGTTTTTTTTTTGCATGGCCTATTATTAAACTTATGTCTATTTGAGCTGAAGTAAACAAAGCTGACAAAGCCAAAGAATGTCACTTATGGATTTTTCCTCCCAAGTGAAGTTCAGCTAGCCTAGCAGACTATCTCCCTTCAGGTATCAATTTTAGGTGCACTTGTTCACCCAGGTGCTAAAAGCTAATTTACAACCAAACTGCTTGCTTTTCAAAAAGATCCTGTTTATCAGGGCCAGTATTATGGTGTAATAAGTAATAAACCCACAATAAAACTTCATTCAGCTAATGGGAAGCTTAGTTTGGGTAGTGGGTACACTGAAGGAAATCAGGGGAAGAACTGATAGAGCTTGTGTGTTGAACCATACGTTCTACAGTTGAGAATGTTTGATTTTTTTAAGGAAAAGAGACGTGGAGTTGAATGTTAAAGAAAGGGGAGACACAGAAAAGTGGGAGGGGAGAGGAGATGGACACAGAGAGAGCAAAGAGAGCTGGTGATTGCCAGGATGATGGAAATGTGGGCAAGGAAGGAATTTAGTAGCAGTGTTAGCTGAGAAAATTAAGAGGTGGCTGGTACAGAGGAGATAAAGGAAGATCAGGACAGGATTTCTGGACAAAAAATTTGGCCCAGAAGATCTTGACTCAATTAGAATTGCAAGCTGTTGGTAGTAGCAGTGTACACAACTAAATACAGATATAAGTTCAGGCATCAGCCAATACCATGATGGTAAAAGCAGCAGAGATGTTTTCTCGTACTGCATCTAGATATTGGCATGTCTAGGTTTGCTTATGTGGTATCTCCATAAGCATTGGCTACTGGTTAAAATCAGCTTCAGATAGTAAGATATTTACCAAGCAGAACTTACTTTTGCTTTTTACAGTAATAATGCCATATGTGCGAGGACTATTATTTAGACCAGGCTTGTCCAACCCGCGGCCTGCGGGCCGCATGCGGCCCAAGTCACCTTGTAATGCGGCCCAGTGCCCACCCCAACCTTCTGGCAAGAGCCAGCGAGGAGGAGGAGGAGAGGCAGGCGGGGCGAGGCGAACGCCACACCAAGCAGCAACAGAAAAGGCGGGCGCCGCCTTTGCTGGTTCTGCCCCCGCCGCCGCCGCTGGTGCTTCTGCCCCCACCGCCGCCGCCGCTTCTGCCCCCGCCGCCGCTGCTGCACCGAGCCTCCCGGTCCTCGCCTTCCAGTCCTGCCGCATCCAGCCGGGACATTTGCAGGAGAGGTAGGCGCGAGGCGGGCGAGCTTTCTTCCCCCCCTCCCCCCCCCCGCAAAATTTGGCGGGAAAATTAATAAAAAATAAATAATTTTTAATAAATAATTAATAATAAATAATAAACATAATTTATAATTTATTATATAATTTTATAATATAATTATTTTATAATAATTTATTATATGTGCGGCCCAAACCAAATTTTCATCTTCTAATGTGGCCCAGGGAAGGTGAAAGGTTGGACACCCCTGAATTAGACCATGGCAATTTTTAGATGTATGAACTCCAATTCCAGAATTCTCCAGTCAGCAAGAATTCTGGAAGCTGAAGACCACACATCTTAAAGTTGCCATGATTGAGAAACACTGATTTAGACTCATGTTTAGGTGTCCCCAAGTATTCTTAGGAAATAATCCTAGAAGAAAAACTGAGAATGTTTTTTTTTTGAACAAGGCATGTGGTTCTAAAGTCCTTAAGTGTTTAAGTAGTTTCAAATAAGGTTTAGCTTATCCTGTGTCTGAAAAAAATTGGAAGCTGATGCCATTTTTAATGTAATGCTATGTTCAGGATAACAAAAATGAATCTATGTAAATCTTGAGCTTAGTCAACATCATCTTCTCTTGCAAATCTTCACCTTCAGAATAATTACGGAGATCATTTGCATCTATTTTTAAACTATGGTTAATTGCTGCACCTTGATAAGGGCAGATGGAAATTAATATTATTTATAAAACAAGTAAACAATAAATCATGGCTTCAGGCATTGTAGTATGTCTTAATAAATCAGTTTAAACCAAATTCAGAATTATACACAGTAAGAAACAACTAGTAGTTTAAACCAGGAAGTGGATGTCACCATCTCTTCCTTATGATAAAAATTGGCTTACTATTTCAAAATGATGTTACACATTTATCAGCATATATCTCTTTTCATATTGAATATGTGGTTTTAAAAAGTGAATGCTATATAAATTACGAAGATCTTTTGAACAGAAAAATGTTTGTAGATGTATATACACCACACACATCTTTTCAGGGTATAATGTAGCAATCTTTTGAAGCTCCAAGCAACAAAAAAAAGAGGCACATTCAACCATTATAAAGTCAATATTAGAATTCATTCTAGTGGGCACTTGGATAATCATAAAGTACAAACCTCAATGGAGATGGAAAGTGGTACTATTCCACGCAGAGTATTCTTGTCAAAGGGATCAAAGATATCATCCCGCATGTTGGCTGGTTGCAATGCAAAGCCACTTTGGCCTCCAGACATGAATAGAGCCTGATTCATTTGCATTGGCTTGTCTGCAAAAACATAGGCATTTCAATGACAAACACCCCAACATCAGTAAAATAATATTGCAGTTTGGTAAAATAATAATAGTGCCTTATGTTTGAATAAAGCTCTTCCTATAATTTAGTGTTTGCTGCCCAGTTCATAAATCTTGAATGCAAATTCTCCATGCCACTAAAGTATTATTTTTTTAGCATGTGAAAAGTATCTTAACCACAATATTTCTCTGTAGCAGTCATTTTATTCAAAAAATGCTCATCAACTGAAAAAAAGTATTAATACTTTTAAGAAGCCAACACTCATATTCTTTAAGACTATTGGCAGTTTAAGATGAACAATTTATTTTATTTTGACTTTCTTATTGATTCAGCATAGTCCTAGGAAAGAAAGAGGCTCACGTGCTCTGCCAAAGCCAATTATGAAACTATCTTTTACTTCAAGCACATGCAGTTCCTATAAAACAGAGGACAAGGTTTTGATAGTTTTTAATATGTTCTAGTTTTATTAATACATATAGATAAAATAAAAAATAGTCCTTTCCAAATGATAAGTAAACAAAAGAAGACTTGTTGGCAGTAGTATTGTTTGTTTGATGTACTTTGAAGTTTATATGATGGTCCAACTGAAAATGACTGAATACCTAACAATTCCAAATACAATAAAAGGTTTTTAAGGAGACAACAATACAATACAATCATGTACAACAAAATTAGGCAGGCATGTACAAGTGGCAAAAAGATTCAAATTGTTCTGAAAAAGCTGACCTTTAATTGAAAACATAGTTGGGACTATTTGAATTCAAGAGAAAATGCAATTCCAGAAAATGTGGGCACCAATGGAGGTCTGTGATAATAACAGTCTTGAAGGATTGGGACTCAGAACATAAAAATCTAAAGCAGTAATGCAGTAATGTTTGCCAAGATGGTTAAAGAGTGGCCTTCCAAATATGACTGAACTGTAGCCCCTAGGATCCCTCATCAATGAGCATGAAGTCTACCAAGATGCCAATTCAACAACATCTGGAGGGACACATATTGCTCAATCCTGCCATAAGCCAAAGTCACCACAATAAAATATTCAGTAAAAAGATGGCCTCACCTGGTGTTTGAAAGTTGAGCGCCACCAACTGGCTGCCACAGATCCACATAGGAAGGGGATCATAATTGGAAGAATCCAGGCGCTGTCCTTTGGGGTATATGCGGGAAAGCTGTAATCGGTTATATTGCAGAAATTTCTTCCCTTTGATCTTGTTGACATACTTTTCTGCTTTGGTTTCAGGAAAAGATGACATATCTCTGTAGCAGGCTCTTTCTGTACCGATTTCTGTAGAGAGAACAGGGAGATGCCAATCTGCAATAATCTTAATTCCTCGCAGAATGAATGAGAATATTAAAAAAATGAGATGTATATTTCTTCTCTATGGGATATATATTTTAAGTCAGGATAATTAATGAAAACAAACCCCAAAATACTGAATAATGATGCAATTTTACAATATTTTTAAGATTTTGATTCACTATCTCAAAACAAATAAACTTGAAACAGCCCATTTGTTTTACTTCTAGAATGGGTTTGTTTTTTTTGCATTATTCCACAATAGCAGTAAAATACACAAGTTTTCTCAGTTGTGTTGGGACCAAAATAAATCAATATCAGCCTGCTGATACAATTAATTTTTAAATCACGATGCTCACCAATCCTTAGAGTTTGGGATAGCCTAATTTAGGGGATAATAATCTAATATAAAAATCTAATTTTGGGATAATGTATGTTTTTTAATTATTCAATTTTTGTAACTTTAACTTTCTATATTTATAATTGTTTTTATACAGTACATTTATTTTTATCACATATTAACCACCCTTGCTCTGGATAGCGAAATGGGTAGCATGTAAATTTAATAAATAACAAGAATGTCCAGAGTCATGAATACTTACTGTCTTCATCAAAGGGAACAGGACGACAGTAGATAACAAGCTCTGAAAGCTCCAAAGCTATTTTTTTCCTCCGTTCCATCATCTTCCCTTCAGAAAGCTTCCAAAATAAATTGTTAAAACAGACTTCAGGGCTCATGACAAAGATGAGTAGCTTTGGAATTAGTACAATGTTGATTGCACAATTTGTCTAATTATAGGTAATGAGAAACAGCAACATTCATCACTTTTATAAAATATTTTAGTTTTCCTGAGTTCTTTGTCCATTTATTTTCTATTTATATGCTCTTCCCATCAAGTATATACTGAGAGAGTCCTTGATAGAAACAACAGAGAATCAAGTCAATGGCAAGGACACTAAATATGAAAATTTGCTTTTCTGATCTATGTTACTACACCCTTATCAGCAGTCCTTAGCTTGGTCCACTGAAGAAATCTTGGACTTCAACTCCTACAAAGTCTAGTGTGAGTCCTGTATGTATCTTTGAAGTAAATATTTTTAACTGAGAAAAATGAGGGAAGGAATCTCATGTCAGGTTACAAAACTGAGGAAAGACATCTGCAAGAATAACATGTTCTAATATATTATTGCAATAAAGAGAATAATCACAATATTTGGAACAATTCTGAATCATAACTATCCTGTTCTTATTTCTGAACATAGCTCATCATTGGGGGTGGGGGGAGCTAGCCACATATAAACACCTGAGCATACACCCAGAGTGCCAGTTTCAGCAGTGACAAGTTTGGAGTTAGAACTGATGGAAGACCAAAACACAGAAATATAAGCCTGAATAGATTTTTCTGCGCTGCAAAGCAGAGGTGTAGATGGCATCAAGTGAAAAATGTCAGCCAGGGAGGAGCAAAAGAATTTCATTCCTCACTCCATCAAACCACCTTCTTTTCATTTGTCCTGGCAAAGCCCATTTGAAAATTTCTGCTGAGGGATTCATAACCAAAAATAGAATTGGGAGATTGAGCCATTCCCATAGTTGTTTTAATACAGGATTCTTAGTCCTGAACATGCCACCCGGTCTTCAGTGTGAAAAGTGAAACTTCTAACTGATAAAACAATTCCCCCAAGCTATGTTCAGCCCATGAAAACAGTTAATTTTTTCAAGGTCAACCTCTGAGAAAGAAGCTTTATACTCGTCATACTGTGACCTGAATGAAATACACGAGGGCTTTTTTTTTTTTACTTATCCTTTACCCTGGCATCAGCAGTTTGGGCTGCTTCACGAATCTTCTTCACCCAATCCAACAGATCTTCATGGGTGTCAGCTGCGACATCCAGTGACCACCGTGAGACAGATGCCATACTAATGGAGAACACAAACATACGGTTGTTCTTCCCCTCAGGGCGGATAGCTATGAAAAGACGAGCAAAGAACAAAAATATAGATTGTTATTAGATCTTCATAATTATCAACATGTCCAGAATGAGTAAATGACTAAAATTAGGGTTTTAGCCCAAAACAATGTCCCAATAGCATCACCCAGTAGGAAAATTTAGAAGTTGAAACAAAGAACAGAAAATTTGATATGTAAATTTTGTCCTGATTTCTTGTTATATGTATCACAATGGACCATTTTAAAAAAGTCTTAAGTTTGTCAGCATCTAGCCCCTAATTTAAATGCTCTTCTGTGGAACAGGAACCATTTTAAAATTCTCCTTTTCTCACTTTTTCTATCTTGTAGCTCTAAATCTCTCTATTTTTGCATATGTTTGTTTGGATGCAGACAAGTCTGGACTCTATCACTGATCAATTTACAACTGCTTATTTAAAAACCAAACTGGGTTTGCATCTGTAGGGCTCACTAACAAGGAAGGAAATTCTACAGAAACAGGGCATACAATTGATTTTTATCTCCCTTTTCCCTCCATAACTTACCAATCTGACATGATGGTACATCCAGTACCCCTCTGAGTAGATCTCCCAAAGGGCTGTTTTCATCTAGCTGTTGCTGGAAGCAAAATCACAGTATATTAGTAAAGATTCTACATTTTGTAGTTTGCTCAGCCATACAAATTTCAGGACGATCCATAAAGTTATTTAGATTAATGCATTTATTTTCAAAAAGCACACATGAAGCAGTCTAGCATATTACAAAACTATTAAAATGCTTTACTTTGCCTTAGCTAGCATTGTATTACTCCCTGACATACTCTCTCCCTTTTCTGCTTCTAGGTGCAACTATTCAGTTTCCGCCTCTTCCTATACCCCTGTAATTTCTGAGTAGCAAGGATCAAGTCGATAATAAATGCTGAAAGCCAATAAAATAAATTTGATCATTACAGTTATGATGTTTAGTGGGAAAACAGTTTAGCTACAGCTACCCTTCATTTGCAAAAAACTATGTTTCTAAATGATGTACATGAAGGTAAACTACCAAGAGGGGCAAAACACTTGTAGCTTAAATCCTCCTCTGATTAGTGCACATGATTCATGTGGATGATCTACACATGCATTATTCATTCCTAAAGGCATCTCTATTCTGTTTGCCACAGCAAGCATCGATCCACAGTATGGGTTATAATGCAGTAAAAAGAATAAAACAGTGAAGGGTGAGAGTGAGAACTTCACATAAAATAGTTTAGAACAGTGGTTGCAAACCAGTGGGCTGGGGACCACTGGTGGTCCGTGAGAAAATTTTGGTGGTCCACAGAGAAATGTCACCCCCAAAGCACCCCCCAAAAGCAATTAATCCAGGCTGCGCGGGAACACAAGGCTGTGCTGCCCACATGGCCCACAGGAACACAAGGCTTGCATCGCCTGCATTGCGAACAACACAAGGGAGTGAGGGGAGGGGGGAAAGGGCAGAGGGCGGAACTTGCCCCACTCGCCTCATGCACCTCGCCTGGCCACTGGGCTGCTCCTTTCTGCTTCTTTCTTCTTCTGCTTTTGGTTGCACGCAAGGAAAGCAGCAAAAATCTTTCTTTCTCTTCCCCAAACTCCACCAGAAATGAGTCTTTGGGACCCTGCAAGGCCTCCTGTTCCAAGAGGCTGCGCCAATGTGACAAGTCTCACAAAGACTAATTTCTGGCGGAGTTTGGGGGAGAGAAAGAAAGACTTCTATTGCTTCTGCTGCTTTCCTTGCATGAAGCCGAAAGTCTCTCTCTCTCCCCCCCCATCCCCCCCGAGAACAGAGCTGGAGATGGTATCCTGCAATCCCAAATAAAGAATGATCAATTGGTAGGAAAAAGGGGTGGGGGATTTTCCTGCAGACTTTTTTTGGGATTTTCCCAGGGTCTCTGGTCCGCGGGATATAAAATTATGAGTTTGGTGGTCCAAAAGGCTGGCGACCCCTGGTTTAGAATAAGTGCTTAAGCATATTAAGAACAGAAAGCTAAACAAAACTTGGGCAAAATGGAGGACAGGAGGGGAGGGGAGAAGAGGGGAAGGGGAGGGACTGAGAGCATACAAGGAGAGACTGAGCTAGATATATCTCCATTATTCGTATGTTTGCTCATATAAGATGGGTGGGCAACCTAAGACAAAAGGATGGGGTCTTTCAGGTAGCCTTCTTTCAAGGCAATACAAGTAGTCTACAAGCTCAGTGGTGCAGTGGTTAGAGTGCAGTACTGCAGACTGTCGGCTGCCCGCAATTTGGCAGTTCAAATCCCACCAGGCTCAAGGTTGACTCAGCCTTCCATCCTTCCGAGGTGGGTAAAATGAGGATTGAAAATTGTTGGGGGCAATATACTGACTCTGTAAAACCACTTAGAGAGGGCTGTAAAGCACTGTAAAGTGGTATATAAGTCTAAGTGCTATTGCTATTGCTATTACCACAATTGATACCAAAATTTATGTTGTTAAGTGAGAAATTTGTTAGGTGAGTTTTGCCCCATTTTACGAATTTTCTTGCCACATTTATTAAATGAATCACTGCAGTTGTTAAATTAGTAATATGGTTGTTAAATGAATCTGGTTTCCCCACTGACTTTGCTTGCCAGAAAGTGAATCACATGTCTCTGGGACACTGCAACTGTCATAAATATGATTCAGTTGCCAAACATCTGAATTTTATTCATGTGGCCATGGGGATGCTAAAAACAGTCGTAAGTATGAAAAATGGTCCTGTCACTTTTTTCAGTGCCACTGTAAATTCAAATGGTCACTAAATTAACTGTTGTAAGTTGAGAACTACCTGTATTCAGACTGAAGACTTGCTTTTTTTTTACAGACTCTGAAATGATATAGTTCTCTGTCATTTTCTTAAAACAAGGACTCACCTCTCTCTCAGGCTCCAGGCCAGTTGGACTAGTTATTTCTTCTACATAATTAGAGGGAAACCACAGTTGCTTCTTACCCCCATAATCTCCTCTCCACCTGAAAAAAATTCAAATCTCATGAAAATATGTACACATTCTACAGCAATGTTACATTACATACCAAATGCAGATATAAAAATTGAAATTGGTGGCATTAAACTTAATTGCAGTACTAAACTGATTGAGCAGAGGAAACATCAATAGTGAGGGAGAAGAGAGCATGCTCTCTGAGGAAAGTAATGCTCAAACTAAAGGGGAAAAAATCCTGAACTCCCTCTCTATTGTGCGTAGGACAGGGGTGTCAAACTTGCGTTGTCACGGCAGTGTCACGTGATGTATCGGGACTTTTTCCCTCTTCGCTAAACCGGGCTTGGGTTAGGGTGGCATTTGACAGCCCTGGTTTAAGAAATTATTCAAGATAATGATAGAATCGTTATTCTATCAAAATAGTTTGAACTCAAGTTAAAGTTATCCTGAACTTGAAGCTTAATTCAAAACAGGATCAGGATAAATATTAAGATATAGTTAGGAAAGAATATGCAGTGCACAGCAGAGAAAATATATAGGGGAGAAGTAGTAGGTTAAGAAATAACGAAGCCCATCACTTCCTTCTACTTAACTCTTCCCTAGCTACTTGTTAGTAATATGCCAATAGCAGCTGCACACATGTGACTCTGTTGATAAACATGCCTGTCACTCTAGGCATACAAATTATATAAGCTCATTTTACGTGCTTCAATCACACAATGAAAGAAACTTCCATTAAACTAATATCAAAAACTAACATCAAATCTTTTCTGGGGGAGCATAAGAACAATTTCATTATCTTCAGAACAATAGCTATACCCACCAGCCTCCTTCTTGTTTTTCTACGTTTTGGATGATTGCATTTTTTGTGAAGGTGAGCTCATCTTCTCGCTGTGCTTTGTAGTCAAACAAAGCTTTGACGGCACACTAAAATAAAGACACAAGAATGAGGCAAGGTAACTATGGCAATAATTGGGATGGATGAAATTATCCGTGGAGGTGAAGCAGTTTTGCTAAGGAGTTATAGAAGAATCCACTTGTCCAGATATCTTTTTCGATCTACTTTTGACAGGATGAGTATGTGCATGTGTGTGTGGGGAGAAAGTTAACATTTGGAAAAGGATGTGTCAAGACCTGTAACAGGAAAGCCAACAAAGCTGTATTACAGATAGTCCTCGACTTACAAGCTTATGACGGACCACCAAAAGGTAACATATGTCCCAATCCTGAAGTTCCAACAATTGTTCCCTGTCACCTGACTGCATTTTGAGTGCTTGGCAACTAGCTTGCCTTTACAGCTGTTTGTAGCCTCCTGCAGTCACATGACCATGATTTACTATGTTTTTGCTGGTATTTTACTATCCATTTTCGGCAAAAATGTCCACAAGCAAACAATGGGCTTGCTTAACAATTGTGATTCATGTAACGACCATGAAAATTTGCTGAACAGCCACTGCAAAAAAAAAGGTTTTAAAATCAGGATGGTCATGCAATGGCCCGCTTTACAATCATCACTACTTATGACCATAATGGGCAGCAACATTACAGTCATGAGTCAAGAGCTATCTCTAACGTGATTATGTCATATACATATATGGACAATCTTACATTGTTTTTCTTGGATTTTGGGGAGGGGTAGGTATTTTTGTTAATTATGGTAAAATTATTACTTGAAAAATAATTTTTGCCACAGTTTTCATATATGTACTTCCTACCTCACTGATTTTTAGCAACTGATTCCATTTCAGGTTTAATATTTACTACTGAGATCCCTCCAGCCCCATTACACACACAAACCAGATAGTTTTGTTAGTGTCTCTGGTGTAGAAAAGTGTGACTGCATATGTACAATATAGTAAACTAATATTTGCAGAAAGGAAACATTTAGAAATATAACTTGCTGGCCCATTTTTAAAACTATTCCTCAAAAAGGTTTATGCAAGAATAGGAAAATTACATAATTCAAATTCATTCCTGCTTCTTCCAGCTGGTAAGTTTCACTGTGCTAATTAGAGTATCATATCATTCTGACTAGAATTAGGATATCATGTTTCTTAAAATTATGAAAAACAATATTCATAGAAATGCCAATCAAAACTATAGCGTTGAAAATGGGAGTTTAATACACACACACCCTGCAATTTCTTAACACAAACTACTCCATCTATTGCTATTAGGTCTGGGAGTGAGAATACACGGGTATCTAAAGCAAAACTGTTCTTATAGTTTCTGCAGAAGATCTTAAAAGCACTTGTAAGCCTGGTAGGAAAATTCATTAACTCTTATTAGCCTAATCCAGATATCAACCAAGGAATTAGGGAAAATACCTTAAAGGTTGGCATAGGGTTGGCCTCCACATAAAATCCCGGATTCCGTCCTTCGTATAGGGCACCATAATCTGGTTCCTAACAAATAGAAATGCAATACAATCCTCCGTACACTTTTCATTTGCTAATTATTTAGACAAAACTGTTCAAAAATGTAACAGAATAATTTTATGAGATAAAACAGAACACAGGAGGACTAAATCCATGGCATGAAAATTGGCTGGGTGACTTTGGGCCAGTCACATGTCAATTCACTTCAGAGTAGTTGTTGTAGGAGAAAGAAGAATATTGTATGTGTTTCACCACTTTTCAGTTACTTATAAAAAAATAAAGATAGGTATAAATAAATATCTAAATAAAATAAAATACATTTTAAGAAATCCTTTTGCAGAAAGAGGAACATGATCAGTTATCAGATTAGGAGAAAAAAATTAAAGTCTTTTGGGTACCCAGCCATACCATGTAATCTCCAATTAAGGACATCATTTCTAGGAAGTGAAACTCTTAAAAACACCAAGTATGGTCCTAACTGCAACCCAGAAGAAAAATACTGGCTTCCACCCAGTGTAGACCTAGTGCCATACTCACTGCTGTCCCAATCTTCTCCAGTGTTTCTTCATTAATAGGATATCTCAGCTTCATTTTGCGGTACAATGGATGTTTTTCATAATAGCTGATTAAATCCACCAGGCTGTCAAATTCTGAATTGCCTAAGATGATTGTCTGACCCTCCTGCTGCACGCGGCAATGCTTGATTTTTCCTTCGGCCCTAGAAAAAAAAAAGACCAGACCAGCAATTAATTTTCTAAATAACCATGAGGTAATGGTTGAAGAATACTGCACACAGGCAGGGAACATTTCAGTTTGTGCAGATATAAGAATTAATCCACAGCACTTGGCAAATGCACTCACCGAAAAGAGATTGCATAGGAATTTGACTCACTCCTCTTGCGCACCAAAAAGGCTCCATCCCGGGGCACCCTCATCAGCATGCGCTCAGCTGAATTCCGGGTGAGATTAGCATGGTACCATCTGGGAATAAAAACAAAATAATTTAGGTTATTTCCTAGGCAGCAATTCCTGATAAATACTTGGATGCTAAGATTAATTTTGCTTAAAGAAAAAAAAAAACGGGGGGGGGGGGGGGGGGGGGGGGGGCTAGATACTAGGCTGTTTCCCTGTAGGTTTTGAGATATGATTGATCTCAAAAATTATTGGATTCAATATTACAAGCCAAGTCTTTTTTCTTTCTTAGCCCTGGTAGAAATGCAAAAACTCATTTGGTTAAAAAGTCAGAAACAGGTCACATATGGATTGCCCTGCAAGGCTCTGGATTATCAGTTAAGACTCTACTTCAACAAACACACCATAACATTTTACATTTGTGTCAACATTAAACCTAGTCTAAATGTTAACCGGTATTCCAAGTTGGCATGCTTAGTTACCACAAGTGTAGACTTAATGATTGTGTGAGGAGGTAGATAATTAAGACACCAAAAAGGAGGGAAAAACACATGATTCTATGGCTTATTCTTAATTACAAATAAGTAACAAGAGTTATATCCGCACCAGGCCAAGGACAGCGAATTCTGTATAAGAACAATCAGCTTATTTTTCTTTTATATCATGTTCATGGTCTCAGTAAATACAACCAAGAAGGCAAACTAGAAATTAGTCTTTCTCAGTTAGCCTTGTTAAGCAGATTAGGAGGATATTTAGAGGATATCAATTTGTTACAAATTGATTGTAAGGTTTTATTAAATATTTTATTTTATTAAAATCATTGGATCAGTTGTAACAAATGCTCTGAATGCTCCTACTATATTTTGTTAAGTTCAAAATAAAACATATTTTAAATAGAAAATGAAATTGTTCATGGTGAGAACAGGTGGTCCAGTTGTCTTTATTGAATTTAAAATAAGAAATGAAATGTTCATGCTGAGGACAGGTCAAATGGCATGGAACTATTATAAAGATGTATTTTCTTTTCTGAAGCAAAACAGATTAAAACACTATGCTGGAGGGCAATGCAATCAGTGGCATAAAACAAGAACACTGAAGAGATGATGTAAACCCCAAATCTTCACTCCTTCTGTTAAATCCAAACTTCAGCACTCCAAATTAGTACTAGAAATTTGCAGACAGAATTATATTAGAATTGAAGGACAAAAAACATTTATTTGAATTTCTATATTGATAAACTTTGAAAATGTGTCTCAGAATAATGAAATAAAAGAAGTGGCTGCAAGAAAGAAAGCATTCCTAACCGTGAGACTCCACCCATAGCATCTCTTTCCTAGAGGACTTTGATTGGCACCAACCATAAATCCTTTCAACAACTAAGCAGATATGGTTTGATTTTTATCTTTTCTGGGCTGTTTCTTCATGGCATTTTATTGTTTTATATCCTTTAAGGGATTAAGAGACTCTGGCTGTCTAAATAACTTTGTAGCTTGCCAAAGAACTCTGAGATTGATTGTAGAGGGAGGGGAGGGAGGGAGAGAGAGAGGGGGAGAGGGGGAGGCAGAGAGGCAGAGATAGAGACACAGAGAGACCAAAGATAGAATGTGACTCCTTTGTTGGCTTACTCTTTGCTCTCGTGTGCATTTGTCTGGGGCACGGGTTCTGTCAACCTCATTTCAAATTCATTGCATCTGAGTGGCACTTGCTGGTAATGAGTAATGAGATCATAGAGGCTATTGAATACCAGGTTATCAGTGAGGAAGAATTTGGGGCTGCCGGCATCTTGCCGGGAATGGATCCGGCAGTGCTGCACTTTCCCATTGCGCCTGTGTAGAAGAAACAACAAAACAAGGATTAATTGTGCTGCCCTATACATGGTTATCCGAAGACAAACGCATAATATTCAGTGCACATTACTTTCCAGTGGATATATTTAGAGTGGCAGCCTACATTTGTTTTTCTTTAGCATCTTATTGTGGATTATGTTTGCCCAACAACAATAATTATACTGCCAGAAAATAAATATGAGAGAATGAGTCAGGTAATGACTGAGGTCTGCATATTTAGTAATCCAATACCTTACTTTCTTTAAGGAAGAGAGACCTATAAGGGGGGAAGAGACCTATTCTGCTTTCTTGCAGTGAATTCTTCTCTAATCATTAAAAATGGGGAAACCAGCAAAGCTTTCCCATCCTTACGGAAATCAGTAGCTTCTAATGTTTTGTCAAGCCCTACCCAGACCAACTGTTGAGTCGGAAAACTTGCAGGCAGAGATTCAAGAACACAACTCTTGGCAAGCTGTCCCAAAGGTGCTTTTTCAGGAGGCAACCGGACTTTCTTTGGGGGTTTTTTGAAGACATTTTGCTTCTCATCCAAGAAGCTTCTTCAGCTCTGACAGGATCATGGGGAATGGAAGATCCTTGTCAGTATCATGTCAGAGCTGAAGAAGCTTCTTGGATGAAAAGCGAAACGTCTTCAAAAGAAAAACAAAAAAGTCCAGTTGCCTCCTGAAAAAGCACTTTTGGGACAACCATGACTGGATGACTGAGAATTTCTACAGACTTTTAGCTACACAATCTTGACAAGCTAGTTTTACTGCCAATATTAGAAACAGCCAATATACTGGAAACCAACAACAGCAAAGGGTAGGACTGAAGCCATGCATGTCAGTCCCAAGGTTTAAATCTTAAATCTTCTTCTTCCACCCATAAATCTTAGTGGACTCAGAGCTTGTCATTTCTCCACAGGAGATCGAGGCATTGTCACTGTAACGGGCTTCTTTGGATCCAGGCTTTTGCTTCTGACTTTCCCTATTCTAGTCCTAGCGTTTTTTTCCCCATATGGAAAAGCCCCAGAGGATCATGAAGAAGCAAATTTTCCTACTGCTATAAGTAAGTGTGTAGGAAGCTTTTAAAAAAACCTTATAAAAACAGATACTCTACAACCAAATTCTTTACTCTTTTGCAAAATAAAACAACCACCTCTACTTTTCTTTATGAATAAAACGTTTTCGTTTAAAATGGCGGATTTCATGGTAGTTACTGAAAGCTTTCAATAACAATGTTGTAATGTAAAAGTTTGCAAATTTCTACTGCAGTTGACTCTGCCATCATTTATTGGATAATGGATAAGTTTAGATAGTGCATGAACTACAGATAATGCAACAAGAATGAGAATAATATCCTTCTATTTGGCATTCTTGCAAATATCCTTTTATTTGGCATCTTTTCCAATTCTTACTTAAAACCAGGACAAATACGCAAATGTATGGTTTTCTTAAGAGACATAAACTCTTTGGATGAAGAACTAATGATTGTATTATTCCCCTATTGAATGTGAGCATTTTAGATAACAATTTCATGCCCAAATGAATCTTACCAGAAAGATAGTGTGTAATCACCAACAAAGGTCTCACTTTCTCGCACCAGGAATGAGCCATCGGGGGCTCCAGTGTCTACACAATATTCCATTAACAGTCTCTCCGCTATGTGGCGCCCATCACGCCCTGCTCCCAGTTTGCCATGGAACCACTTTTCAGTGGAATGGAGTTCAGTGCTGTTGCTTGTCTGCCATGGAAATGAAAAGCAAGCACTTGGTTTAGTAGCTTACACACCAAGAGTGACTGAATGAGAAGATAGAAAGACACAAGTATATTAGTTTGGAAGGAGAGCAATCTCTCTTTTCCAAGTGTAGACATCCAAACCCAAGGTTTAACCCAACAGGAAACTATCCTGGGTTTTCCCAAATACCTTCATTCTGTTATTGCACCACAGCATAAACAAACAGATAGGGTTCAAGTCATGTATCTCTTGCCTCCAGGCAACATGCAATGCTAACATTTCAGAAAATAATTATTTTAAAGCAAACAACAAACCATTTTAGGAAGTTGTATAAAGTAGCCTTTTATGTTTATAACTCATAATTGTTTCTGGATGTATGCACTTCCCAGAGTTCTTTCCTTTCATTCTTCAAAAGCAGAAACAAAGGACATTCCTCCAAAGCTCTTCTTTCTTAGTCTTATAAGCAATCTCCTCCTAATAAACTTGCCAGAAAAAGGAGAATGAGAGTTCCAAGCCTGAATTATAGGAGAGCCAGCCAGCAAAATCCAAAGTAGTGGGACTTGGTAGTTTTGGATTCAATTGGGAAGAGCTGGTTCACATTCAGGATTGTAAATGCAACATTTTATGGCTCATTAAAAGCACCTGCATTTGTTTCTAGGATTGCATAACTGCCATGGAAGGTCTTCTGCATGCTAGGAACAAGGGCTAAGCTGTTTTAATGAGTCTCAGACAAATGCTGCCTTTGTTCTACATGTTCTGAGCAATTATTTTAAATCAAATCAAACTTGAAGCCTCATAGAGTTCTCCGAAGCACATGTATGCCAGAAAATCTTCTCCAGCCTCTTCTTCTTAGTCCTTTCATGATTGTAGCAGAAAGTATAAACATGGCCTTCTTCTAACCCTTTCCAGACTGATGTTAGTCCTAGCTTTCAACTTCATCAGTGTTAAGTGGAAATATCATTACAAAGTTACATTTTTCCCACAGGAAATTCAAGATGGGTAAAGCTTAACACGCAGCTCATTCCAATTCAAGAAAAAGTAGATTCCAGATTTCTTCCCATCAAAGACTAAGAAGAATGAAGATATCCAATTCCTTCTAATTATGTCATAAAATCATATAAATGCAGAACATATGTAATGGAAGGGACCTTATGGGCAATTTAATCCAACCCCTTGCTCAATGCAGAAATACTGTACAGAAAACTATCCCACCTCTGCTTGAAAATCTTTAAAGAGGGTTAATCTACCACTAGTCTAGGCAGAATGACCCAATATTTAACTGTTCTTACCATTAAAAAATTCTCTAATTCAGCCATGTTTGCTTGCCTAGTCTTTCAGGATATCTTCTTTCACATACCTCCTTTTGCTCTTCCTCCTCTTCGTTTCCTAAATCACTTGTTGTCTCTCCAGAATAATAGATTTTACTGCTGGTCAAGACAAAATAATGAGGATTCCAGTCCTGTAGAAAACATACACCAGTAATTAAGTTGATCCTGGAATAGTCTCCTTCAAGAACAAAGCTTTATGGTCTTCCGGTTTGCAGGGCTTTGGCGGCAGGCAGGAATCCGCGATCATGCGCGGTTTCTGCCTGGGCTCGCCGCTGGAGCGGCCCGAGCCAGCTGGCTTCGGGGCTAAGCCACCCCGTAGAGGTGGTGAAGAGGGGGGAGATCACCAGCAGGGTCGAGGGGAGCCGCATCTCTCCTCCTCAGCTGGCCAAATTCACTTTCCCGAAGGCGGTAGGAGCGGTGGTCAGAAATGGCCACCTCAAAGAAGCACTCAACCGGAAAAGAAAGTGCAGGAGGAAGATAAGAAGTGAAAGTTTTGGCTGACCAGGATAAAAAGCAACAACTAAGGTACCCTGGAATTTAAATTTTATAAAAGATAACATCGCTCCCAAAGAAGAGTCGGAAGCAGCGAAAGAAAGTGAAAAGGGAAAGTTTTTTTTCTTCATTCTCCTTCCTCACATTGACAACAAAGAGAGCTGAATAAGAAATTGGAAAAATCCGCTTTGGCACTAATAGGTAGGCTGAAAATATAATTAAATGCCAAAGGAACAATAAAGATTTCTGGACACTAAAAAATCCTTTTTTTCTATAAGGAGGAAGGGAGAGGAAAAGAATAAGGTCAGGATTTGGAAGGAGGAGACTGCCTGGACTTCAAAAGAATCTAAAGTAAAATCTCTGTAAGACTTCTAAAAGATACATTTTACCTGGAACTTTGGAACTAAATAGTAACCCCAGGAAGAGAAAGTGAAGAAAGAAGAAAGTGTAAAAAGAAACAGCTTGTGTGTATTTGGATTGCTTGGTGACTTTGGGATTTTTGGATATTATATTTGAATGACTAAAAACAATTGGGTGGCTGTTTAAAAAAATTCTACAATGGCATCACTTCTGGATGAACTGAAAATGGAATTTAAAAAATATAAAGAAGAGACACAAGAAGGGAAGGGCTTCTTTGGCTCCGTTTTTCAATTCTTAGAAATGGCGATCTGCATCTATGAGAAACAACAAGAAAAGACTGCGCAACTAGAAGATTGGGACAAAGAAGAAGCCATCTTTAATGAACAAGTAACTCTATTTGGGGAAGAAAGGGGAAAGGGGGGAAAGAGAATGGAGAATTTAAGACTTAAAAAAACAGCCAAAAAAGGGAAAAATAATTTGAAAAGTGGATATAAAGTTGGAAAGCAACAGAAAAGGGGCATACAGAAGAGGGAAATGGAGGTGGAGAGACAGGGGGGTAAAAAGGGGAGAGAGAAGAAGAAAGAGAAGGAAAGGAAGAGAAGTTACAAAGGTTTGGAGCAAGATGTAAAGAAACAGGACTTATTCAGAGATAATGGGTGATTGTATTGTTATATTTGTAATAGAAATAATGTTAGAAAATTGGAAACAACGTATGATTAAAAAGTGGGATAAAATAGTCAGTGTAATTTAGTGAAACTTTTGTGAACAAAATAAATGAAATAAAATAAATGAATTGAATTAGGAAGGAACGGGAACATTTTAATTACTCAATGTTTTATAAAATATAAGTAAAGTGGGGGGGAATTAACTATGGAAAGTTTATAAGTGTTCCCATAGAAGTATGATACTTATCTGAAAAGTAATGTGTAAAACGTTAAGATTTAAATGAATATTAATATTAATGATAGAATTGAATTGGTATGGATTGTTGTTTTAATTATATTATACATTTATAATTTTTTCTTTTTTTAAAATAGTGTGTAGTTTTAGAATGTACCAAGCAGAATCCGAACAGAAGTTATGTATTATATTAAGTGTTATAATTTTAGGGGAAAGATATAAAGGCGTCATACTCCAATCAGTGATTACAGGAGAAATTTTGTTCAATGAGAAAAGATAGCAGACAGTTGAAACAGGACAGACAAAGAATATAAATACAATGATTGGAATTGAGATTAAATAAATAAAATAAAATTAAGAAAGTTAAAAGAGGGGAGAAGCTATATAGAAAATGCAGAATAGTAATAAGATATGGAATGGAATATAAAAATGAGCATGAACTTGAATTTGTGTCTGTACGAAGAGATGTAACCCGGGATTATGCTGCTTTCAAAAAAGATGTTTTATGTTTTTATGTTTTATGTTTTGTTCGTTTATGTTTGTTTTTAAAAATCAATAAAATTTTCAAAAAAAAAAAAGAACAAAGCTTTATAAAATTCACTAATCTGGACTATGAAGATGATATATGACAATAGGAGAAAAAAAGCATTATGCTGACACTCTCATGAATTAACTTCTAAACACTGGTTGTTAAAAATGGAATGTTCAATCCAAAGAATGGTTTGCTGATATTAAAACTAACAAGTTGTTTGACCCCTTCCTCAAATGAAGTTTTCAAGACTGCAAGCTAGGGAAATACAAAACTGTTTAATTCTAACAATGGGCCAAGAAATTGGAATGTCGTGAAGTTTCTTTTAAATCTCCACTGAGTAGGGCTTTGCTCTTCTTTTCTATTTTCTTTTCTATTTTCTATCTAAGCTAATTATTTTCAGATTGATAGCTCTTTTGAGCAGAAGCCCATATTCTTGAGTTATGCAGAGCAACTGACAAAGCTTTCTTTCTTCATGGGCAATGAATGAAAAACTTGAAACCAACTATCCACCTCTTTAAAAAAAAAACACTGAACTGCTTCTGTTTGTTAAAAAAAAACAATCTACAGAACAACTAAGCAATGCCAGGAATTATTCAGGGTTATTAATGCTTATGTGACCATGCAAAAAGCATTGCTTCATCTGGGTTCAGTACTACCTTTTGTAATAGCTTTATATCATTCTCACAAGTTAAGTCATGGGCGTTTTTAATCCCAGACACATTTTTACTGAAGCAACCTGTCCACATCATATGGCAACATTTAAAATACTGACAAAGAGAAGCAATCTTTTCTCTTCTCTGTCTTGCAGTGTGGAAACTCATATTATAATGGCACAATTGGAATGCTCTACTGAAAGTGGAAAGCAGGAAAAGCTTCGAATGAATCTCTGAAAAAAGCAGACATTTTCAGCATCCCTATCAAGTTGAATCCATGGATCAGGACACAGAACTTTATCAGGCCAAGAACCTGAGCTGGGCTTTCAAATAAGCACTGCAGACTAAATCAAAATGGTCAGGGATGAATCAAAGAAATAGGGCAACAACAGCATTAATTATTATGACTACTGAGAACCAATTCAGTGTAATGGTTAAAGCTGTAGTGGCACAGTGGTTAGAATGCAGTATTGCAGGCTCATTCTGCTGAGTGCTAACTGCCAGCAGTTCGAGTCTCAACGGCTCAAGGTTGACTCAGCCTTCTATCCTTCCAAGGTCAGTAAATGAAGACCCAAATTGTTGGGGACAATATGCTGACTAAGTGCTATTGCTATTGTTGTATTAAAAGTACTGGAATCGAAACTAGGAGACTATGAGTTTTAGTCCTGTCTTACGGGGTGATCTTGAGCCAGCGACTCACAGTCTAGAAGGAAGCAGTTGGCAACCCATTTCAGACAAAGGATGCCAACAAAACTGCAAGCAGCCAGTCAGAAATCAAAACTGATTTGAAGACACAATAATAATATAAACAATTTTTAAAATCCAATGTATTCAATTAAAAGCAGGAGCTAATATTTTTTTTCCAGGCCAAAGCTATGGTATAGCATGCTACTTCTCCACTGTCCAAAAGTTAAGTTTAGCCCTGTCTGCCACATAAAAATTTTACAATTTTTAATACTGGTGACTCTGGGGAACTATATTCAAGGATTTCAAAAGACCTAATGCTTCAGAGTTATGCACTCTGTATTAAAATTATAAAATAAATTGTAGCTAGGTTGGCAATTTCTGGGGAACTGAGCCCCAGACTAGGAGGGGTATATATACGGCCCTACAACAACAGCTTATGTAAGATTGTATAAATCAGTCAGCTCCAAGTAAGAGTAAAGCAACACAAAGAAACCCACGTGGTTGATCGGGTCTTCCAGATACAGAATGCCATTCTTTATTGAGTTGCTGATGTCATTCTCCGAATACACTGCAGATGATGGTATTTCTTCATAAGCACTCCCCTCAGCCAGTTTCTTGTGCTAAAGCAAGAAATATACATGTCAAGTTCTTTTAACAAAATAGTAAAAACCAAGACTGGAATTAGGAGAAGGCATTACTCCACTGTAAAATTAGCACTTCTGGAAATACCAAGAGGGAGGGAGGGAGGGTGAGAAAGAGAGAAGATTTTTTTTTTTTTTCTGGTCTCAAGTCAATCTCTCAATTTAGCCACTGGGGTAACTTTGAATCTCCCTTTTATAGCAAGGTAGCTTCACATTTCCCCCTTACAAATCACTTCTTTTTAAGTTTCTGGGCAAATGTTCACTAGGTGAACTCACAATACAGAAAGGATGGCAGTCCGTGTTATTTCTGAGCTCTCTTATCAGACAGCTGGCAGGAAGAACGGATTGACTTGTGCTATTTCTCAGCATTTTGAAGCTTGTGATTGTACCGGTAGTGAACATTTCTATCTGCGTTTGAGGAACTGATGGAACTGCCTGCTTTTTTATGGCAACTACATATGAAATTTCTCCAACAAAAAAAATAATATATGCTCAAAGCCAGTGAAAACCTCCCTGACAAAAATGAAATGGGAAAAAATGAAGTGGCTTTTGGAAGGCCTTATGAAGTAAAAGATCTGTGAGAATGCTGAAGACCTAAAATTAGCAACATGTTTCCAGGCTGAAGAATGGGTACTACATTTCATTTTAGTGAAATGCATACAAGGCATATACAATTATAGAAATGCTATTCTCTAGAGACCTTTTCCTGAGAGTCATCACATTTAATTTCTGTTTGGATTTTCTGATGCACTTGCTAGAATTTCTCCTTTATATTTAAAGGATTCAGTTAAGCAGCAGTCCCAATAACTTGAAAGCCCCAAGTTAAAGAAGCTGGCTTAAGAAATAAAAACTAAGCCATTATTTTTTAAATTAATTTGCTATGCAGGAAGCATAATTGTAAAAGTTTTTTTTCTATAGGGTTATTCTAACAAGAAAGTTATAAATTTGTCATACTCACCTACATAATCGTTAAAATGCAATGCTGATTGATGTATAGAGCAGTTTTGTAGGTCTCATGTAAAGCCAAGATTTATAGCATCCCTGCTCCTACATGTTAATAATTTTTTGGGTCCTAAAGACCAGGTATTCTGAAATAAGTTGCAGTAATGTGTGTGAGAGTTGGGGGCGGGGGAGGTTAAGAAACAACAATGCCTATGTCACCTTTTGCATGAGCCACATTCAGAAAGGCTACAAAAAGAGCTCACCTTTATGAGAATCTTCCTCTTCAGCTGGTTTGGAGATGGCAGACCATCAGCAGAGATATCGACGGGTTTGGTAAGCAGCATATCTCCAAAGACCTTCTTAAAGTTCTGAGCCATATTCCTCTGCTGGGCAATGCTGCAATGGTCTTCGATGGATAGGATAACAGGATAACTTAAAAGAAACAAAACCATTAAGAATAATTGCAGGTGCTGGTTGTCACCTCTAAAGCCTTCAATGGTCTGGGGTCAGGTTAGTTGAAGGGCTGTCTTTTCCCAGTTACATCTACCTCACACACCAGAGCGGAGAAGCAGGATATGTTACAGGGCTCTTCTCTTAAGGAGACCCACCTAGTGGGACCAAGAAAAGTCTTCTTCACACAACTCCCCCCTCCCAGGAACATTATTCCTCAGAGAGAAGATTGACCCCCACCTTATAGTCTTTTAAAAGGACTTGAAGACATGGCTTTGCCAATGGACCTAGGGCCAGGAACAATGGTTTTTGTTTCTATTTAGGGTTTTATTTCTGTAAGTCACTGGAGTCACCTTGAGTTGGTGGCCATATAAATTTTCTTAATATATAAATAGGATTATAAGTATAGTGGTGCTAATCTTAATTCTGTTATAAATTTGCCTAATTGGGCTTTCAGATCAACTCCCTGAAGAATTAACATTTGATTCCTATAAGATTTGTTCAGCTATTCTTCTAGCTTCTGTTGTTCTATCAGCAATCCACACTCCTTTAAGATCAGATCCAAAAGATTGAACACTTTATTTGGAAAACAAATAGCTGGAATATTGAGGGAATTGAAATTTTAGAATCCCATTACTAGGTGTCAATTCCAAAGGCACCAAATGTTGTCACTAATATATGATTCTTTTGGAATACAGAAAATACATTTAATGTGGTAATAGATAAAATACCAATTTCCCCCTCATTTCAACAGTATATATTTTTTTCAAGAATACAAGTTTCTAATCTTCTGGATTGTGAGAAAAATAACTGAAATGCCAGTGAAATTTCTGGATCAGATTTCATACCAAAGAAGTTAAAAAAAGAAAGACTTCTATTAGCTAGAGACATAATTTCAGTAGTATACACAACTTCAATATTCTACTCTTGTTATAAAAATGTACATATGCTATATTTTTTTAAAAAATCAAATTATTGCTGAAATAAATTCAATGTGTCTAAAATAGAAAGTTTCATAGAATCCTGCATTCTTGATGCTGATACACAGACACATACAAACTCTCTGTATATGATAATCATTTGCAAAAATTTAGAATAAGATAGACTACTATCATGCCAGTGCAACATCTTACTTCATATACATATGTTCCAGCCTAGCACTGAAACAATACTTTATAGATAGGTATGAAGTGCCATAAAATAAGACTTTAGGGCTCAAGTATCTGAGCTAGGGAAAGGCAAATTTCCAAAGAACATGATTTCACAACCGACGTTTTACTTACTCAGAAGTTACAAAAGCATGCTCCTTGATGGTGGTGAGGACATCAGAAAACTTAATTTTTGTAGTTAATGTGTGTCCGTGATAAATCACAGGCATCCCATCAGGACCATCCCAGCAATCAACTGAAAAAGATAACCAGTTAAAAGTATAACTAAAAGTTCATCTATACAAGTTAAGTTAATATTGGAATTAATTATCTTAGATAAAATCAAGTTGCATCCAAAGACAAATATAAATAGTTGTTTGTCACCTAACAATCCAGGTAGAACATGTTTCAATGAAAATGATTTCCTTATTTCTCCGGAGTGAAAGTGATACCACAAAGAAAGGCATTTCAAAACAGATTTGGGAAAGTAACCTGCGATGCATTGATAATACCCCTAGTTCCATGGCACTAAGAGTGCTTTTCATTTCAAGGTCACAAGCAAACCTTCCTTCGGAAATCGCTGATCAAAGTACTCTGGGAAAGGTTTATATATGTATATTTGAAACTGCCTTTTTATTTACTATCCATCTAGCTCAATATAATTTATTTTAACCTTTAGGATCTCACAAAATCCCAGATAGACACTTTCATATCTCTTGCAATCTGATCCTTTTATCTGGAATATTCAGTGTGTAGAATGTACACTCCACTACACACTTGATCTAGCCTCCACATGTGCAATTTCCTTTATGTTCAATATGAGATCAATCTTTCCTGATCCTTATGACGCAGATGAGGAAATAAAATGGGAAGAGACCAGCACTCACGTTCAATACAGCGGCATCCCATGCGCAGGCAACGAGCATAGGCTTCCAAGGAAGACTCACTTGAGAACTGATCTCCTGTCAAGTATCTGTGATGAAGGGGCAGTTATGAACATGAAAGCAAATTGGGTTGGATTACCACAACATCAAAAAGACAAAGCAGTAGTTCAAATGCAACAGATAATTTATCAGCAATGTTTTCATGCATACTATCCAATCAGACTGTAATAGTCTCTGACTCAGATTTCTCAACTGCCCAAAGATTCCCTCCACGATATACAGATAATCCTTGACTTACAACAGTTCACTTAGTGACTGTTCAAAGTTACAATGGCACTGAAAAGTGACTTATGATCATGTTTCACACTTATGACTGTTGCAGCATCCCCATGCTTACGTGCTTTACATTTGGATACTTAGCAACTGACTCACAATTGTGATGGCTGCAGTGTCCCAGGGTCATGTGATTAACTTTTGAGACCTTCTAACAAGCAAATTCAATGGGAAACCACTTAAAGATAGTGTTACTAATGTAACAACTGCAGGGATTCACTTAACAAATGTGGAAAGAAAAGTCATAAAATGGGGCAAAACTCACTTAACAAATTTCTTACTTAGTAACATAAACTTTGGGCTCAATTGTGGTTACAAATTGAGGATTACCTGTACTAGGGTAACATTAGATGCTTAAATTCGTCCTAGCCCCAGTGTTTCAATCTAAAATTTCCTCTTCCTTCAAAAAGTTCAAAATAACACAATGTGACTTTATGCAATTATGCATATCAGCATTCTCTTCATCTAGAGATCCCTAAATTACTGAGTCATGTGTTAACCTGCTGCTGTTAATGGAAAGCAAAACTCAACAGGCAACTCATGATTTGCAGAGATAAGTAAGACAGTGTAATTCCAAGAATTGCATTGTTATCCCAGAAGATGCTTTCCATACAGTTTTTTTACAAAACAGGAGAAATTACAAACAGGAGAAATTATTAGCAAGAGAAACCAATTTTTCCATTACGTGTTATGAGAGGAGGAGATCCAATAATGGGACAAGGGGTTGTTCATGTCTTCTGGGCGTATGACATCAAACTCTGAGTTCCAGATGCTGTTCTCTTTGGAAAATAGGAAGGTGAGAAACTGTACAAGAAGGGGAAAAATGGGGATGGGAGGTGAAAGATTGAACACTAAGTCCCCAAATCTCAGCTGTTTTTTCAGACTTCCCCCACCTGATGTATTGGATTACAGCTCTCATAGTTTAGAAAACACGCTAAATTATGATGCGGGAAGGGAGTCTGCTTGAGAAAACCTGATATGGACCAGTTGAAGTTTCAAGATCGATTCCACGTAGAGAGCATTGCAGTAATCAAGTTGTGAAGTGACTAGGGCTTGAATGACTATCTGAATAGCCCTCCCAATTTAGGAAAGGACACAACTGGCTCACTGGACAAAGTTATGCAAATGCCTTCATAGCCAAAACTGACACCTGCTTTTGAAGCAGGATTTTTGGGTCCAGGAAAAACTTGATTACACATCAAAAGGGAAAGTTTAACCCCATTCAAGTTCAAAGAGGGAATATACCCAAATCTGGATGATTAAAACACCTATAATCACTAGGTCTTGGTAGTAACGAGTACACAATCTCCGTGAACTGGAACAAAATCTTGATGGCATCATTTTCAGGTCCAGTCAAAAGATACAATTGGGTATTATCAGCATGCTGATAATATCAAACCTCAAACTAGCAGATTACCTCAACCAGCAGTTTCATATTTATTTGTTTATTTTATTTATATTTCCTATTTCTAAAGAGCCCATCTCTCTCAGAAAAAGGAGGTGTGAGAGAGTAAGCATGCAGGCTGACAACAAATTCACCAGTGACTTAAAAACAACTACATCCTACTTTGTTTCAATCTCAAAACTGTGCTGACCAAAGGCCAAATGCTTAAGAAGTCCTTGACTTATTTAGGCAGATCCTTTACATCTGCCTTGGCAGTTAACATTCCATGCTAACACTAGAACTTTGTACGAGATCTAGAAAACAACCCCCAATCAACTGCATGCTCTCTATATAATTATCTATGTTCCACCTCAAACTAATTATCCTTACTTATAATTTCTAGGACTACATAATTGCCCAGTATTGCAACCAATTAAATATAATTCCAGCAATTACCAATGAGAACTCTTATCTCTCTTCTTAAAAAAGTCAAAGTTGCAACTTATTTAATATTTTAAACTGTAAGAAAAGACCTGCAGGGGGAAAAAAGGAAAGATAACTTGCTACAATGTTTCTTTCCTGCCATGTATGGAATTGACCTTTATACTACATTGTACTTACTACAGAGTAGTGTAGAGAACATTGGTATCAATTATTTGGGAATTGTATAGCCGGCTACCTCTATCATTCTTGTTCTATTTTGTTTCCAGTGAGATTCTTTTGAGTCTTACCTCATCTGAAGAAAAATAAGGTTCTTCAATTACTCTCAAGGGATCTGACAAGAAAGTAAACATAAAATCTTGCACCAAGGAAAGGTCTGCAGCCCAAAGCTCCTGTATATGAGGATGGAGAAAGGTGGAGTTTGAGAAGCTATATATTCTATTTGTTACAGTGTTTAAGCTATTTTGTAAGCATTCCCTTTCCCAGCCTTATAATGTTCTTGTAAAATAGCAAGTAATTATTATCCCTGTATTGCTGATGGAAAGCTACATGGGATTAGAGATAGGAAGGAACTATGGAGTCCAACCTCCTGGCCACAGCAGGAATTTTCATACCATCTCAGACAAATGGCTGTCCAACTTTTGCTTGAAATCCTCCAGTCATAAGTACCAATTCCAAGAAGTAGGGGCACCTTTATCCCTCTCCTTTGCATTCTTTTCAATTCCTCAGCATCCTTCATCTAACCTCAACATCCTTCATCTCCTCTGTTTGATGGCCAGAACCAAATAAAGTACATTTGAAGTTACAACGCTCTTATAAAAGCAACTTACTGTTTCCTTGCACTTCTAACCATTGCAGCATCCCTGCAGTCATGATTGCAATTCAGGTGCTTAGCAACTATCACACAATTATGATAGTCATAACATCTTGTGGCCATGTGGTTGCATCTGTGACCTTTCCCACCCAGTTTCCAACAAGTCCATGAGGAAGCTGGGAGAGAAGGTCACAAGTCACAGTCATGTAACTGCTTAATGAGAAAAAAAATGTCTTTATTGTGGTTGTGAGTCAAGAAATGCTTGTATTTCAGGCACAGACTGACCAGTGAAGTATATAACAGAACCAACACTTCACGTGATCCCAACACTATCCTCCATATTGACTGTTTCCTAGTATGATTTGATTGCTTATTGTACCCTATGACTATCATTAAGTGTTGTACCTTATGATTCTTGACTCTTGACGAATGTATCTTTTCTTTTATGTATACTGAGAGTATTTACACCAAGACAAATTCCTTGTGTGTCCAATCACATTTGGCCAATAAAGTATTCTATTCTATTCTATTCTATTCTATTCTATTCTATTCTATTCTATTCTATTCTATTCTATTCTATTCTATTCTATTCTATTCTATTCTATTCCATTCCATTCCATTCCATTCCATTCTATTTATGCAGTTGTTATGGTTGTTATGATTTTGAGAGATGGGGTAAAAGCCATGGCCCCTGGCTGAATAAGAGGCAGCTTAGCCCACAGCAGGAACTGGGGCATGGCAAGTATCTCAGAAGTGACCCTGTTTAGTATCTTGGGTTGTAAAAGATCACATGAAAGAAACATACAGTATTTTGCAAGATTCTATTAATGTAACCTTGAAATAAAGTACAATTAGTTCATTCAGACATGCATTCTATTCGAACTATTTTGCATGTCTAATATCAACCTGGCTAGTCTGAAAGTACTTTTCTCCCTCACTGCTTTTACAGCCCACGAAATTAGAAACATCTTCTGATTTGCCCCTATTTCTGCTGCAGACTGAGCTACCTCTTTCTTATCCCATAGTTCTGTGGCTGTTCTCCTTGTCCTTGGGTCTCCCAAGGTCACTCCTACATACTGTTACAACAATAGTCCAAGGTTATAATGCCTCTTTTGACAATGTAAGCACATGGCTCGCTCAGGCTCCATCTTTAGCCTATCAGGAAAGCAAGATCTTTCACATCAGTCATACAACTGAAACTAAGTACAATCTATCTTGTACCTCTGCAGCTATTTTTTTTCCTTACTTAAGTGGGGAACCTAACATTTCTTGTCACTGAACTCCACATTGTTGCCTAGGGCTCATTATCAAATCTTTAGGATCCTGAACCTGTCTTTTGAAGTTTATCCACCTGCATCATATCCAAAAGCTTTAGGTCATCCTCAAATTTGATGAGTGTCACGTCAATCCCTTCGTCTAAGTCATTTAGATTTTAATACTTCCTTAGCTATAAAGCTCTGTGGATAGCCTGGAAAAATACTTCTTTTTAAATTTAACTTGCATGTATCGCATGCTTAGGATAAACTTTGAAACTTAAGAAAAACGTGAAGAACGTGAGACAAAACTGATATAAAAAAAAAACAAATAATGAAGTGCCTCTGCCTAAATGGCATAATGCCAGATTAAGATTCAAAGTGAGTGCTTACCAGCTCCAAGTATTTATGCAACGCATTATACAAACTCTCATCCCCTCAGATTGTTCAAATTACCTATATACAATAGCTTTTTCTGAAATATTGAAATTTGTTTCCTATATTAAAGGCCTTCTCTTTAAGACCTTTTTAAACATTTATAAAGGAAAATCTAATCAATATATCAGAGTACAGAAATTCTCTATGAGAGAATAGTGTCCCATTTCATATCTTCATCATATCTTCTCATCATATCTTCCTTCAGACTACCAGAAAACAGAGTACTTGAGCAACACTCGAAAGAGGCAATGGCAAACTTAGTGATTGCTAAGAAAGGCATATTCACATTGCATCAAATTTTGGTTTTTACTCTTTCCTAACATTAGTTATGTGCGTGTGTGTGTTCCTTCTATGATATGAACTTACCATTTGATATTCTAGCAAAAATGTCTTGAACTCTGACAGAGAAATTCTGTTGTATTCAGATCTCTCCCCACTGCGTTACGATGAAGTGCAAGATAAGACAGATGAGACAGCTTGGTTAGAAGGCAGCTGTCACTTCTCAAAAATCAAACAAGCTTAAATATATAGAGACTGTTTACATATAACTCTCATACATAACATGAAGATGTAATGGTGGACTCGCACAAGAAATTATGCCAAAAATAAATCATATTATGAATTAGCATCATATTGAAACAATGCCAATGCCAAAATTAATATGGCAGTGAAAGTAATAGATAAAGCTTGGCTATTGATAGAGTTCATTCCTTTACACTAACTCTTTCAGGGAAAATTGGGACAAAGAACATATCAATATAACGGATTGCTGTCAGACAGTATCAGACACACATTTGATAGCAATAAATAACAGACTTCAAATGCAAAGTTGATTAAAAGGAGCACAGAACTTTCAAGAATATTGAAGAAAAACTGAACTTTGTTATCACAGCAATTGGTAAAAAAGCAAATTAATCTGCATAAATGTTGCATTTTGTTATCAGACATAATTCTGTAACCGCTGGCACCAAATTCTTGTCCCAGAATTTGAGATTTTATAGTATTTCCAAAACAGATCAATACAACAATATACAACCACACCGTATTGTACACTGAAGTAGAGAACAGAACATTATGAATGCATAATCTGTGCTTTGACTAATTAACTAATTATTAATTATCAGCATATTTTCAGTTATAAACCATTTTCATTTCCATCCCAGCCCCAGTAGGAAATAAAGCAGTTTACCTTTCTAAGAATGGAACAGCTATCTAGATAGAAGAAACAAAATTCAGTCATTGTATTTACTAAATTTAAGCATCCTACTTCAAATGTCAATAGAGGAACTGCAATGCTGCTTCTCACAGAAATAATAAAGCCATTTTCCACTGTATAGTTTACAAAGATCTTGAAAGGACCCTTCAGGGACTCCTAATGTACTATCATCAATTTGCATATATGGATTTTTGCATATGTGCATGAAAATGTGAGTGAATGTACACAACAGTACCCACCTCTAACAAAACATTGCTGAAGGACAAAAATAATGACTGTGGACTAACACATTATTAGTTCTTTTTTTAAAAAAAATCAGAATTAAGATCAGAAGCATCTTACTCCTTTCTGTGCATTGTACATCAAGCTCTGGTACAGTTGAACAAATTGTCCGTAAGTGATGTCCCCATTTCTCTGTTCCACATCCTGATAGCAAAGAGAAAACAAGCAAACAAAAATAGTAAAATATGCTACTATTCTGTCATACATGAGTGATTAATTATCTCATGTGTGGAAAATAAAGCACACACTGCTTTTTTCTTGTACCATTTTACAAAAGAAGGAAAGGGAAGAACTTTTGTGTTTTAGTAATGCATCTTAAATGTACAAAGCAGAGATGCATTTTCAAGGTCTCTTACCATCTTTCCCCAATCATCCTTAACTTGCTTTGGCCATGTGGGATCAGAAATTTGGGATTTCAGAATAACATACATGGGAAGAATTCCAGATTGGGAAATACTGGTTTATTTAGTAGCAAAAAGAAGAAACAGTATTTAAGGTACTATTTAAGGATTATCACCAAGGAAGCTCAAATTCAAGCCCACTCTTGGCCAAGGAAGTCTACAGGTGATTTAGGGGCCAGTTATATTTTCAGCAATACCTACTTCATATGGTTAATTGTGAGATAAATGAGAGGAGAAAGCACTTTGTACCCCAGCCTGAGTCTTTAAGGAAAGATAGGCTATAAATCTAACAGACAAATAAATAAATGCAGAAGGTTCCAGGTTCAAACTCCCAGTAACAATGAAGTTCTTAGTCAGAGTAGAACAAGACCAATCTCAATAGATGGGTAAATTCATAGGGTGCACCAATCTTAAATACAAATGTGACATTCAGAAGTTCTAATCCCACTTTAGGCATCGTTCCAGCTGGTGATCTTGGGCCAGTCATACATTATCAGCCCTAGAAAGCAGGCAACGGCACACCTTTTCTGAAATTTGCCAAGAAAACTAGTCCAGGGAGTCACCAGGCATCAACAATGACTTGATGACACAAAAAAAAAAGAAAAAGAAAAATCGTACAATAGTATGTAAAGCTGCAACTTTAATCAATGAGTATCAAAACTCTGTACATATAAACAGGAAGAAAAAAACCAAATACTTACTGATAATCTCTCTCTTAGAAATCTCATGTTGGGGACGCGGTAGTTGACCTGAGATAGCATATTTTTTAGGTCTTTTGCAGAAATCCTAGATTAGCGGGGTAGGGAAAAAAAGAATAAATGAATGGGGGCATATTTCTGTATTTACGCATTGCCAACTCATAAAATTCTCAAAATTGCTTGAAAGACCTAAAACAAGTCAAGCATTATTATGAAAGGATAAAAGCATTTCCTACACCCCACCCCTCAAATGCTGCACCTGTCAGCCTCCTGACACAGTTCAGAATGGTTGATAAGAGTAGCCAATGTTGGCCCCTTGTAAGGCAAGAGTTCCTAACCTTGCCTGATATTCTCCCATAGATTCTGGCTTTGTGGGATCACTAAGGAAACTGGATTTTTTTATAAGCTTCCTTTCAGTTTTCTGGTGTTCTGTCAGATTTAAATTGATTACACTTAAGTTTTCCAAAATCGTATGATTTCTTCCTTAAAAATGGACAAAAACACTTCAAGCTAATCAGTGAATGGAAAAAAATAATGGGATAAAACTATTAGCAATCCTTGGACAAATAGAAGAGATTATCTTGAAGTATTTCCAAAATTACAAATATTGGAGTAGTTATTAAAACCAGCAGTCTCAGATTGTATTATTTGAAAGGAAATAGTCACTATAATAGTTGTGGTTCTTTTCCAAATAATTCAAATTATTTCAAAATAAGCATGATTTTTCCTTCTTTTTCCTCAATAACTGTAGAAAATCAGGTTTGCTTTCTTTCAAATTCATACATTACTTGAGAAATGGGTCTCCTTCAAATAACATAAATGTACTATACTGTATGGACCTTAAAAAAGCAAGACAGAAAGAAAATCAACTCATTTGAGCTGTAGTGCTAGAGAAGTCAAAAACATGATGGCTGGACACTATCAAAGCTTGATATCAGCCAGAGCATAAAAAAACTCAAAGTAACAGCGCAAGATCAGAAGATGAAAAGAGACTTGGCCTATGGAATTGCCAAGAGTCAGACTCAACTGAATGAATAATATCATTATCATCATAATCATCACCACTGTACTGTAATAAATTGTTTAATTTTTTCAAGAAAGGGTATGTTTCTGGATTTCAATTGAGCTGAATATCTTCTGAAGTTCAATCTATGTTTAGCAATGCGAAAATCATTAACAATGGAGAGACTTCCCTGAAAACCAGTTATCTTCTATGATTGATCTTCCCTTGCAGTTTGCAGCACTTAAAGTACCCTTAAATTGCAATGTTTATTCATGAGGGGTTATCAAGCAAGCCCAAACAGTCATCAACAATGTGAGACAAAATATCTTCAATTAGTCTAGAATCACTGAGTTTTTGTGGTAGGAATACAGTCTAACAGTAATTTAACATATTTATTCAAAAATCTGTGATTTGAAAACTGTTAGATTGAAATCATGCCTTGCTGACTCTACCCACTCTTATGGAAGCAATGTATAAGAGGCTCCTTGAAAATTAAATTGCACAAAAATTCAAACTACTACTTTTTCTACTAAGCACCTTAGAATCAAATATGGAAAAGAGGTACCAATACTTGATCTTGCATATTATAACTGCAGCTAGAATAAGTTTTGCTCAGAATTGGAAATTGGCTACGACCCCTAGAGAAAACATGATAATTAATAAAATACATGAATGTGCCGAGATGGATACATTAACCAAATTGCTAAAAGATAATCAAGACAGTGAATATTACAAAACATGGGATTTCTGGTATGACTGGCTAAAGAAAAGGTGATATCTGATGACTTGGTAACATTTGGAAAATAAGGGTGACGTGTAAACAATTGTAAATAAATTATATGTGTGTATATATAGAGCTTAAAAGGACAAAGGAGTTATTATAACAATGTATAAACACGCTATCAGAAAGAAAGTACAAGTGTATATATTTCTCAAATAATGCTGTAAAATGTATATATATGTTTTTAATTTTATAAATATTGAATAAATAAATATTTAAAAAAATATAAATGGCACAATTGTTTGGTTGAGATCCAATAACAGTAGTATCACTCCTACCCAACATACCACCACATCTTTTTTTATGTTCTGATCATCAGTTCAATTCATCTATTATACTGGAATACAATAATCAAAACCATTCTTCTGAAAAAACTGCAGGTTTCATGTGTGCTCCCATAACCACAACCAAATATTGTAGTGACTATGAAACAATGGAAGCAGGGGTGCATGACTTTTTCTGGATTGAGAACACCAGAAGGCCTCAGACTGTGGTGCTATTCTGTACTGAACCACTTGCTTGCTGGGTTCTTCTTTTCCACAGAGCAGGTCTGCTGCTGAGTTCTTATAATATATTGCAATTTGTCAGTCAACCAATGACTGGTGAAATCCAAGTAAATCTATTGCAGATGATGAACTGTTGGAAAATAACTTATTCCTGGCATCCAAGAAATGCTGGTCTTCTCCACCCAGGAACAGAGACTATAAAACTCTATCCAGAGCAAAACAAGATAGCTGGAATTAATCCACTTAGGGAGAGGGAAAACCCTTCCCCCCTTCAGCTGAACTCCTGAGAAATGCAAGTTGCAGACATATAGCCTTACAGTCCAATGATTAGCTCAGTCATTAGGTCAGGAAATGGAACTCGGCTACAACCCATTTATGACTTCCAGATCTCAGTGGGTGAGAAAAAGTATCTTCTCTGTTTTATACATATTTGCACACATGCGTACACACACACACACACACATACAGTTTAGTATTTAATGATTCCAGTGAAAAATAGAAATTCTTTCCATCATGCTCTTTTGGTTCTGCCCCATAAAACTTCTGGAGTGGGCAGTCCACAAAGCCACTTAAATGCCAACCAAGGCCCCTCAGCCCGCAAAGGCATTCTATCTCTGCAATATTTATTTTATTTATTTCCTATCTTTATTATTTTTATAAACAGTTCAAGGCACTGAATGTAATACTCCTTCTTCCTATCTTCCCACAACAACAACCCTGTGAGGCGAGTTGGGCTGAAAGAGAATGACTGGCCCAAGGTTATCCAGCTGGCAGATGTCACTGAACCAGTTTTGTTTTCCAACATTTTACAAATTAGCAAGTGCTAAATATCATTGGAAATGATTTAGAGGGTTTATCTTCAGAAACAATGTGCTGCAATTGCCTCCTCAGACACTGCTCCAACACAAAGATGCCAAAAGTAGTCTGTTCAACTTATAGGGAAAAATTAATGATAATACTTCAGCTAATGATGAGAACATCATTCTTAAGATTGCCAGCTCTCAGCTGCTATGCTTGTATTGAAGAACAGCTTGAGAATAACTATTGCTCTCGCCTTAATATCTGTAATACAAATATTTGATAAGTCACAATCTTCAGTATTTCTTAAAGATGCCTGGTGTGCAGGTTTAATATAGCAAGGAAGCTTTAGTAACCCATTGTCAAATATGCATGAATAGTTAATCTGATTCCCGGGACACAATTTCTCCCTCCCCACTTTGGCTGGAAGCAAAGAGAGACTGACGCCAACAGGCAGCAGTAGTAAGCATTTCACTTAAGCAAAAACACATTATCAAATTGAGCCATTCTAATCTGTTCTGAGGGATACTTTGAATCATAAATTTTAACTGGACAGCAGATTTTACTGTAGCTGCCTTCTCAAGAAAAAATCTCTCATTAGTTTGATGACCTTGGAAACACATGTATACTAGATATAGCTGTTCTATTGTCAAATAAATGTTTAAACATTATGATTTTTTTAAGAAACGTTTCTCTTCACAAAGATTGTCGAATTGATATACAGCAAAATGCTTCAGTTATCTCAGAAATTCTCAATGAATCCAATGCATTTTTAACACATTGCAATTGTTAATTGATAAGGTTATTTGATTATCAGGGACTTCCGGGGAAGAAATGGGGAACTGAAGATAACTCTGCTGAATGTGATCATGGCAGAATTTGTTGCTTTTTAAAAGAGGTAAGTTATTAAAAGTATCTATACTTGTCGTGACAAAGGGGAAAATCATTTCTTTATACATTTCTCTCACTTTGTCTCTTGTCAGGGCAGGAAATCATTAGAAATTAAAAACCACAAAATAGTACAAGGTGAACTGAGCACTCTAGGGTTGGAAGGAGGTCCTAGATCCAGCCCCTCATTTTTTGCCGTTTTCAAGTTTCTTGAATGTTCCTTGGCTATTCCAGCCAGAGGTATCTAATTGCTAGGCTTCCCTTGAGGCTGGCCTTCACCTAACGCCACCTTAAGCAAATTTCTCCATCTCAGAATCTTCTGAGTTTTAACTATTTATCATACTATGAAACTTGGAAGGAAAGAGAATTGTAGCAATGACAGGTATACCACTGAAAGGCCTGAAGAGCTGACTGGGGATGTATCATCTTGGAAAAGCTGTCTAAGAGCTTAGATTATGACCTAATGACTCATAATCAAAAACCAGTTCCCGGCATATCATGCTCCAGGAATATATTGCATTTCTCAGAATTCTCTCTTTTTAATTTTTATGAATCAATCTGTCAGATACACAGCCACATGTTCTACAATCGATTTTGGAGCTAAGAACATATGAGAAATACTTATCAGTTGCTGGATTTCACTACTGCCCTGTGATATATTAAGCATTCATCTTGATGAATGTTCTCAGTACTCCCCAATGTGATTTCTTATAGCAAAAGACCAATAATGATGGAAAATGACTGTGGTTTAGTCCAAAGGAAGGAAAGGGTGAATGCTAAATTTTATTGCTAGCAATCTGCTAGTCTTTCCTGTTTAAGAGCTATGTTGCATTATGGGTTACTGTATAGTAACTCCATGCACTTCCCTGGTGGAGATAATAATCTAGAATTTTACTACTCTAATCCCTACATCATTTCATCACATCAACTCTTTCTTTCTCTTTCCCCCTCTGTTAAAATATAATAAATGATCTCTTCTTCCCATATCCCATCTATTATCTATAAATAAATCCTTAAAACCTTGTCAGACAAATTCATTCAGGGTTGGAAGAGATAACAATATATATGTTTTAACTTAAATCAAATAATCCAGGTTTAAGTTCCTTCCTTTTACTTTTTCGAAGATTGTTTAGTAGTTAATATATATTCAGTCAATATGCATTTGGAGGTGAATGTATCATGCAAACACAACAGAGGTTGTTATTCCCCATAATGAATGGTTCTCCAGGATCTAGATTTGCTAGTCATCAAAAGACTTGTTACATTTAGAAAACCCTAAACAGAAAAATAAGGATTTATTATGGAAGAACCTGAAGAGAAATTCTGGCACACAAGCCTGTGTTTCTGAATCTCCTGAACTTCCTTAATAAGATTTCCAGTTTGGAAATTGAGATTTGTTCTTATGAAAAAGACAAGGAATTTTGTTTCTCATGGTTTGCAAATATTTTGTTTTGTTGTTGCTTCTAGTTAAATGCACTTTTAAAATTCAATTGGAATTAACAGATCTCTTTCAAATTGCCTTCACGTTCTGAGAGAGAGGGAGAGAGAGAGAGAGATATCAAGTCTCCAGTATTCACTTTTGTTGTCCAAGCTCATTCATCCTAATATGTGGATGTCAAGAAGATAAATCATCTTTGCATCAAATTATGGAATACCTCAGAGTTACAGTTAAAGAAATTTAATTAATTATTAATTCACCAATCATCCAAATTCATTTTTCAATTAATAAACATTAAACAGAAAACTAATTTTTAGACTTGTATGCCCTCTTTGTTACTCAAATACATCACATTTCATAATATACAACAGTAACTTTTTATTTACCGATCCTCTCTGTTGCGGTCGACATAGTAGAACTGTTTCCGAAGCCACCTAAAAGTAAATATTGAAATTTTGTAAATATGTCAGAGATTCACTGGAGAAGAGCCTAATTATGGGAACGATTGAGAGCAAAACAAGGAGGGGACGACAGAGAATGAGGTGGCTGGATGGAGTCACTGAAGCAGTCGGCGTGAGCTTAAATGGGCTCTGGGGGATGGTAGAGGACAGGAAGGCCTGGAGGAACGTTGTCCATGGGATCGCGATGGGTCGGACAAGACTTTGTGACGAACAACAACAACAAATGTCAGTGAATCATAAAATCTTCCTCTTTAAGAATCCCCCAAATCCTGAGATTAAGTAAATTTGAACTGTTATGAAAGGAAGCATAGGTTTAATACACATAATCTTAAGTACATATAGAAAAATGCTGGCAATGAAGGAGAGGCAGTGAAACCTATATATAGTATGCCCCTTGCTTGAAATGGTCCTTCTGTTCCAATTTTTTTGTTTTACCTTTCAATTTGCAATGGAGTAGCAGCTTTTAGGGTATCTGCCACAAGCCAGTTCAACCCTTTGATCCACATGTTGACTTCATCTTCGGAAGTGGCTGTGAAAATAAAGAACAAACTGAGCCTGTCAAGACATGACACAGCCGCTGACCCCTATATCCAAGAAGGAAGTCACTTTGCAGCTGGTTTCCAATAGACGGAAACTAACCCCATCAATTTTGATATTTACAAATTATAATAGCCATAAAACCAGTCTTTAAGGAGGAACAATCACATCATTTCAACGTTTAGCATTCAATTCATTATGCTTGTTAAGTAAGGAAGAAACATGTTTTTTATCTTTTGGGGCAAATCCTGCATAGCAAACAAGAAAGATCTACAGGGAATTCAAGTTAGATCTTTTTTTCAGGTCACAGATGTGATGCCAAAACTTACTTTACCATAGCTGAATGTCAGCAAACAGGTTAGTGCCATGTTGTGAAAGGCTAACAATCATTTAAAGATATGTCTATCAGCCACTTCAAACAGCTATCTTAGCATAATGATGCAGATTGATTACTCTTATTCAGAATATGGCATATAGTAATGTGTTTGCTTAATTGCTTCATGCCACATTCACTATTCTAGTCTGAGCACACAAGATTCTGCACAAATCCAGAATCCTGCCCTATGATTCATGCCTTTTGAAGAATTACCATCAACAAAGGGAAGTGAGCAACACACGGTCAGTATTGAGCAATGGGATTTCTCTTTATCTCCCAATTAGTTTACCTCAGAAAGTACTTCATACAAGATCCACTCCCCCATTTCAAATTTTAGAAGGTATACAGGAACACACCTGTGAACTTTCTAGAATTTGGAGAGGGGAAAACAACATTTAAGACTCTTTTTAGTTTTTGAAGCCATGGGAGAGTAAACCAACACTTGCAACATGGCTAGCCACAGTGTTAAACAAGAATGTCCATGTGCTCAAAGACTCTGGTTTAAGCAATGGCTATCAGTTCTAGCAGCTGCTAGCAATCATAGTCATTTTTGCTCATTTGTTCCTCTCTACTATTCTAAGCCAAGTCTTGCTAAAAAAAAAAAAAAAGTAGATGAATAGCTGGTGTTCAAAAAGCTACAACAAAAATTGGATTGTAGTCTCATGTCAGTGACAAAGTAAAAGACATCTAACCTTGCAAACTGAGTGTTTTCAGTCTGAATTCCATGCCATAAAGGATGACAAAACAGTGAGATGGTTCTGGACGGAAACAAGAATCTTCCTGGTATCGGTCAAAATCTCTGGAGTTCTTTCCCTGACGAATTTCTTGGATTTCCCGAATATCAACTGTTAAAAGAATAATAGGAGGAAAGGGGGTTGAATTAGAACAAAATTAAGAACAAATGTACTTTGCAGACAAAATCTTGATAAACACTGATAAACAATGTTATCTGACAGTACCATGCAGTTACAAACATGGTCTTCTATTTGCAATATTAAGTTTACTGTTGCTTAACTTCTAAACCAACAGGTACTGGAACTTTTTCCTTGCTGGAGGAGAGATCCCTGCCTAAATTAACCCTTCCTCTTTGAAATATATGTGTATTAGATGCTGCTTTTCAATTAAAGCATTTCAAGTAAAATCCCAGATTCATAAACATTTGAGTTCTAAGACCAACATTTAAGAAGTTTAATTCTTTATGAACTTTGGGTTAGTAGTAAGGACTTGCATGACACTCTTAATGCTCGTTAAAGAAGCAGAATAAGAAGATTATTAACTTTTTTGAACTCTGCTGTTGGAGAAAACTCCTGAGAATTCTGCCGACAGCCAAGTAAACAATCAAATGGATTGTTCACCAAATCAACTTAAGAGTTGCCACTCAAGGCTCAAATTATCCTAAATTATCCTACTTCGTACACATTAAGCAAAGATCTTGATCTCTGGAGAAGGCTCTAATCTGGGAAAGGTAAAAGGAAAGGGAAGAAGAGGATGACCAAAAGCAAGGTAGATGAACTCAGCTACAGTGGAGATGGGTATACCTTTGGAAGACCAAGATAGGCATGGCTTGTGATCGAGAAAATCTATCTATGTGACAACTAAGACTCAATGAGTTGACAGTACATAATCAAGGAGGGATTTAACAGGTAACAGATAGTCAGAGTTGGAAGGGACCTTATAGGTCATCTAGTCCAACCCCCTGCCCAAGCAGGAGACTATACCATTGCTGACAGATGAGAGTCCAATCTCTTCTTGAAAGTCTCAAGCGCTCCCACAACTTGAGGGCAAGCTGTTCCACTGGTTGATTGTTCTCACTGTCAGAAAGCTTCACCTTATTTCCAGGTTGAATCTCTCCTTGATTAGTTTCCATCCATTGTTCCTTATCTGGCCTACAGGTGCTTTAGAAAATAACTTGAACCCTTCCTCTCTGTAGCAGCCCCTCAAATATTGGAATACTGCTATCATGTCTCCCCTGGTCCTTCTCTTCACTAGACTAGCCATGCCAGTTCCTGCAACCGTTCTTCATATCTTTTAGTCTCCAGTCCTCTAATCATCCTGGTTGCTCTTCTCTGTACATTTTCTAGAGTTCCAACATCTTTTTTATAGTGTGGTGACCAAAACTGTATGCAGTACTCTAGGTGTGGGGTCTTACTAAGGCTTTATAGCCTCACTTGATCTTGATTGTATCCCTCTGTTAATGCAATTTAGGATTGCATTAGCTTTTTGCATTAGGATTTGCAAACAAACATTTCTAAGATATGTTTAATTTCTGACATAGCAAAGTATACAGATGTTAAATCACCACAGATAAATATCACTGGGTAAGAAAAAGCAGAATACTCCAGAAGAATGAGCTGTAAACAATTTTGGCCAAAAACAATTAGTTAACTAGGCCATAATTACAGTGCTGATGCAATTCAACATATATTCATATACTGAAAATATTTAGTCTACTGAGGGTCCTATCTTGAATCTAAAATCGATCATGAAATTAGTATCTGAATTATAATTCGCTCCAAGTAGATTCACTGTAAACAGCACTGTGAGCACTGCCTCTCAGGGACTGAGAGGCAGTGACTGACCTAAAGTCATCCAGCTGGCTTCCATGTTGATTTGGAAAAAAAGCAGACCCTGCACTTGTAGGAAAATGCTAGCAAGAAAAAAAAATGTACATCAACAGTCCTGGGACCACTAGAGGTCACTGTGGCAAATCCCAAACTGATAGCAAAGAATATCTTCACTAGAAAAAAAAAGTAAGTTTTGTCCCTAGGCACAAAACTACTGTGGGGGCGGGTGTGTGTGTAGTTTTATGAAAGTAACATAGAACTCAAAGCTTGGTTTCTCTGTTTGCTATATGAACAAATGCAAGTTCAATGAAGAAATGCAAGTTAGCACTTTTGCTCACAATGGATATGGTTGATTGTATTTTTTTTAATTAAGATTAAATGAACATCTACACATTTAAGTAATTAAAACTCACATACATAGGCTAAGCAATTTCTAGCCTGGAGATGAAGTCCTCCTTGGCTTCCTATCCCAAATTCCAATATGGAGGCCTCTATTTTATTACTCCATGAAACAACTCCATGCATTTACATTCAGCACAGTTAACAAGATTAACTCAAATTAATTCTAGATTTATTTATATCCAGCATGATAAAGCTTAATGAAAGTTGAGGGGTAGTATCAGAAAAATGTGAAAGTCAGGAAAGAAAGCTGATGAAAGACACAACATAATGTCCTTTCCTGCTATGGAAGAAGCTAACCACCTTTTCCCTTCCTAAAGAGGAAACTTCCCTTAGCCCTTCCGTATGTTCACTCTTCTATAGATTCTCCATCTCCTGGATTGTAATGAACCTTTACACCTTGGCCATTTGCTCTGGAACAACTTAGAAAACTGATCTTTTCTGGACAGTGAAACTCAAGAACTGAATACAGGAAGTACTCAACTTACGACTGCAATTGAGCCAAACATTTCTGTTGCTAAGTGAGGCATTTTATGACCTTTCTTGCCACAGTTATTAAGTGAATCACTACAGTGGTTAAGTTAGTAGCATGGTTGTTAAGTGAATCTGCCTTGCCCACTGGCTTTGCTTGTAAGTGGTAGGTCGCAAAAGGTGACGACCTCAGGACATTGCAACTGTAGTAACTATGAATCAATTGCCAAGTGTCTGAATTTTGATGACATTGGTTGTGGAGCTGCTGCAACGGTTATAAGTGTGAAAAATGGTGATGAGTGATTTTTTTCAGGGCTATTGTAACTTCGAATGGTCACTAAATGAACTTTTGTAGGTTGAAGACTGCCTGTATTAAGAAGCACCACTTTTTTCTATTCTAATCCGACTGGTTTTTCTTATCTCCTTGAGCTAACATTTTTCTTTTGCTTGTTTTCAATGACCATTCAAAAATATTCAGTATGCGGTATTTAAGAGGACAAAAAAAAAAAAAGAATATTAAGATTTTGCTGGAGGAGATGTCTTGAAGATTTTGAGACTAAAAATTTATTGCAACAAGGCTCTAAAATACAGATTGGGCTTTTTTTCTTTTCCTTTTTACTGATACCACCCCAAAGAGAAAGTGAGAACTTTGTGCTTTGTCTGGACTGATTGATGTCTCTGGGACTTTGGGGAATTGTTTTAACTTTTGAAACATCTTGGTTGCTTTAAGAAGAAGAACAAAGAAAAGATTTATAATGGCTTTACCTGTTGATGAACTTAGAAAGGAATATGGGAAAATAAAGAAAGAAAGCAAGGACGCTGTGAAAGAAGCCTTCCTTTTTTTAGAAATGGCGCTTGCTATTTATCAGCAAACACAACAGATGGAGGAAATAGAAGAAGAAGAAGAAGAAGAAGAAGAAGAAGAAGAAGAAGAAGACGCCATCTTCAATGAATCTAAAAATTTAATTAAGAGAGAAAGGAGAAAGAGAGGAAGGAAAATGAAGAACTTAAGACTTAAAAAAACATTCAAGAAAGAGAAAAATAAGATGCAAAATCAACACAATGTTATTAAGCAAAAGGAAAAAGGAATACAACAGAGAGGGGAAGCGAAAAAGGCGGAGGTTAGTAGAGGGGGGGGGGGTAAAAAGGCCAGGTGGGATAAGAAAGGAAGGGAAAAGGGAGGAAAAAGCCACAAAGGTATGAAACAAGATGGGAAAAAAGGAATTTTTTTTAGGGATAAAGGGTGATGTATAATTTCTTTAAAAAAGAAGATTCTGCAAGGTACATAAGATGGTATTGTAGTATTTGTATTAGAAATAGAAAACTAGAATGTTATAAGATTTAATAAAAGGCTAAAATATTGAAATGTTTAGTAATGACAGATTTTAAAATTTAACAAAATATTAAAAGGAATGTTTAAAATATTGAGTTTAATTAAAAGGTTTAATTGACTATTGTCTTGATTCTACTATAAACTTATTATTGTTTTAAAGGTTAGCAGGTAGAATGTACTAAGCAGAATCAGATTGGGTATTAGGCGTTATTTCAAATATTAACTTAGGGGGAGGATAGAAAGGCATCATACTCTGATCAGTGATTTCAGGAGAAATCCTTTTTTTTTTTTTTTTAACTGTAGGGAATGAGATAAATGGATAATTTGGAAAGAATGGACAAAAAATACAAATACAATGATTTAAATTAAAATGAATTAAATAAAATAGAATTAAGAAGAATGAAAAGCGGTGAGAAGTTATATAGAAGATATAGAATGGTAAAAAAGATAGGTAATGGTATATAAGATGAGCACGAATTTAATTGAAGTCCATATAAAGAGAGGTAATCTGGGGCCAAACTACTTTCTTAAAAGAAGTTTTATATTTTTGTGTTTTGTGTGTTCATGTTTGTTTGAGAATTAATAAAACCTCGGAGGAATGTTGGATGAGAATAATGGTAATCAAGTCAGAGAGAAATGTAGATGATGATTATAAACTGGATAAATATAGAAAATAATAATAATAATAATAATGAAATTGAATACGAAAAGAGAAATAATGAGAAATTTGCTAAGAGATATTTATATGTCCATATCGAAATGGTGTAAAACAGAATTATGCTGTATAAAATAATATTTTACTTGACTTGTAAAATTGATAATGGAAAGAGGTTTTATGTATTCAATGGTTAATGATGGTTTGTTTGTCTTTAAAATCAATAAAATTTGTTCCAAAAAAAAAAAAAAATCAGTATGCAGAAACTCAATGACTCCTCCTTGGTATTTGCCTTCAAGGTTGAATACAGATTAAGAATAATCTTATACTTTGTTAGGTTTCAAGACTTTATATCCCCCCCACCTTTATATACATTGGAATGAATACATTTTCATTATACATTTCATTGGAATTCAAAATTTCAGGATTGATTTCTCAAAATCC